TAATGCAAAATGGTTTTGTGACATGAATAGGATTTTTTTTTTATTTAGTGTGTTTCTACGCCGTGGCATTTTTACGTTTTGAAAGGGAACGGTCCAAACCCTGGTTTTGATAGGATGGATTTATTTCTAAACTAAATGTGTACTTCCAAAGGTTTGTAAAGCTATTTCGTTTCTTCAATACGACATTCATCCCATAATTGTCTTCTTTATGTCCACTGAATTTTCTTACTTTATTTTACTATATTTTATGGATAGTTATGTTGGAATACTCTTAGTATTATTCAAACAAATCGAAATACAACGACAGTTTTCTGAGATTACGAACAAGTCTGAAGAAATTCGGGGATCTTCTATAGAAAGATTAAAAATTGTAATAGAATAGTTTTAAATTTATATATTTAAATATAAATTTCTTTGCTATGAAGTTATATTTTCATTCTTGCTTGGTCCACTGAAACTCTTATCAATATAAATGTTTTGGTCATGAGAAGCTCCAGTTGATTTTCGCCCGACATTTAAACTAGGTAAAGGTCATGTAAAGAACAAAGCGACCTTTTACCCACTTTATTTTATCAGAAACAGTTTCCAAGTTAAAATTTTGACTAGAAACATATAAATTTAGAAATCAAAGAAAACTGCGAGATTTAAATATATGCATTTTAATATCAATTTAACTTTATTCTTCATTTTCCATTGTCTATTATTGAACCTTAACAATCATTACAACCACATAGTATTATACCGTTTAGCCGTTAGTAAAGTAAAGTAGTTGTTAGTAAAAAACGAATCTTACAATATATCCTGAAATATAAGGAAATAATTAAGTCTTCATTTAGCATTAAAATGTCAAAACATGATCCTCAGAACGAAACGGCTTCAAGAGAAGACTACTCGCATAATTGAAATTAATTGATTTTATAAGGTAAAATTAGTGTTAAGTTGGTAAAACAAAAATCAAAAAGTATTATACTAATACTTGATGGAGACCAATTTTTAAAATTACATCTAGTTTTTCTGTTCCAATGTATCTAACGAATCCATTGGATTTTGTTTTTTGTGGGCTTTTATTTTTCCAGAATTGCATGAATTCATCACTACTGTATTCAATTACCCACTTAACTCTAGTACTACATTTTTGTAATAGGGATACTTAAATTAAAAAAAGTAAAATGCCTTTTCTGCTAATCTAGTTAGGCTACGATTTATCACTTTACATTGCAATTTAACAGCTAAATGTTATGATAGTTACTCAATTAGTTCACTACTAGTTATGTTATTCTCATCTATCTAGCCTTATCTAGTAAGAGTTACAATTGTATCTCAATGTTATTATGTAACAATGACTTAGCGCATGCCTAGATAAACAAAATATTTGTTGACAATACTGTACTCCATGTGTGTTGTACGGAATGAACAAAGTAACAGTTTTTTTGGAACGCTGTACGTTGTATTTAATTTTGATAGTGGATTTTTAACTGTTGGTTTTCTATTTAAGGTGCGACCCAAGAGTCGTGTCGACGACCTTTGTAAAAATTTTTACAAGGCTTAGTAAAAAAATTAAATGTTTATGATATCTATATCAGTTATACATTTCTAATTCAAGAGAACCCCACACAAACGTTGGTGAATTTAAATGTTAAATCCCATTGGTTTGGCTGGATGTGTTTTTAGAGATAACATAGTTTTATTTTCATTTAAAATTTCTACAAACTTTAAAAATAAATTCTTCCTACTGTAATTTTTTATGTTTATTTGCAACAATAAACAAGTAAATTTGGACTCGAATATACCTATAAGTATGGCAAATGTATTAATTACTGTACCGGGTACTTCAGAAATCCAAGTAGTTACAAAATGGTAGTCTATGTTTCCAACATCAAAATAAGAAACATATCGGTGCTGGATACAACAATGATGTCCTTGAACTATGACATTTCCGTAAATGTTGTCGTTCGTTAACCTAGTAGGTTACAATTCTATATACCATCCTTAAATTATAATAAAAACGAACGTCCGTTTAATACAGAAGTAATAATGATATGTATGTGTGGGTATTTAAAATTTAAATGGCCGAGTGGCGTCGGCGAGGTTGCAGATAACACCAAGGTCGAGATGCTCAGCGGGACGATTCTTGCCGAATTCAAGCATGCTGCATGGATAGACATGCATGGGCAACGGAGTATATGGCAATTCTATTGTGAAACAATATTGTTCAAATGGTACTTTCCTGTTATCTGGTACCTGCGAAAAAATTCTTTAACCACAAGTACAACTTCGTCGATCCAGAGTCCGGAGCACATAACAATCATCCGTTTCCGTTTAGGTTAGGTTTGGTTAGGTTAGTTTCGTTTACTTACAATGCTCATGTTATTGATAAACTAACCTAACCTAACCTAACCAAAGTACAACCAGGTACATAACATAAAAAGTATTATACTAATACTTGATGGAGACCAATTTTTAAAATTGCATCTAGTTTTTCTGTCTCAATGTATCTAACGAATCCATGGGATTTTTACAACCTATAATAGTAGAATGTGATACATAAAAAGTTTAATCTTTCTTTGTGTTGGGTAGCGAATAATTTCAGAAGAAATATTCCCTGTTGAATTTTAATTCAACATCAGAACAAACGAAATCGCAGAAATGACAGCCGTTATTCACCGGTGACATTTCACAATTTCCCGTCAACGCCAAAGCTTATTACAAACTGTAATATTACTTTCTTTGAATTGGATTTTTTGCATAAACACCTAATACTGTACTTTGATTTTGGCTGGGTAGTTGTTTAGGTATACACACACACTTACAAAATTATGAAATACAAGTTATTCCATGTTACATCGTGTTCTGTACTTGTACAGATTTACTTTCGATCTTGATTTTGAACACGACAATTTTGAAACCATCGATGTATTTTGAAACATGTCACAACAATTAAATCAAACCCAACAAGTGGAAAAAGCGCACCGCAGTGCTTCAACGTACTGCAGGCGGTCTGGTTCAGATTGCAGGCGTAACATGATTTTGGTATCTTTTCACTTATGCTGACCATTGTATGTGGCATTGTAGATTTCTTTCCATATGACAGTACAGTACAATCATTGATTATAGTCAATGATACAATTTTGCTTATGACGCAGGTAATAGATGTTTGCGTAGTTCTTATTGTTCTTTTTGGAGTTATTTTAGTTTGAATCATAATGTAACTACTCATTATTTTAACGTAATTTTCCCACTGTTTTAGCCAATTCCCCATATTGGGTTTAGGGGTTTAGAAAATACTAGGACGTATAAATAAAAAATCTCAATAGTCAAGCCTTTTTTAAGGGAATTTACCATACAGGAAATAAGTGATTGTCGTATTCACTTAGGACGTACAATGGAACTTTTTTGCGATTTTAGGCCTTGGCCTTGAACACCATTTATTGATGGACAAGAATTGAACATTGTCCACGAATACAACAGCGAAGTACTTAGCCATGTATACAAAACAAAACAGAGCTCGAGTCGCTTAGGTCAAGTTGACGAAATATCAAAGTACGACTCCAGCAAATACGTGGAATTGTTGTGTAATCTGGAGTTTATTTATTGCCTAACAGTAGAATATATGAAGTGACATCTATGTTAACGTAGTAAAAAGTAGAAATCGTGAATATATCTTTCAAATTGTCTAAGAATGTATGTATCCAGGGCTCAGGTTATCATTGAAATCAAATAAAATTATTTATAATGTGAAAATAAAAAAAGTCAATAGATTTTTATTTTTTGCTGGTTCGTTACTGTACCCAGCTGTCCTCCATTGGGCTTTAAATGAGTGGTTCTGGGTTCTGACTATGAAGAATCAATCAGCTGATTTTAGTAAGAAATCTACATAAATTATCTCACTACAATCCACACTATCCTGCATTCTAATACTATAAAAAAACTACACATGGCTCAATGATGAGATCACTGGAATTTCTACCGACATTTCATGGCGCCACCTACAGTCTCCATTCTCTATGATCGTCCCTTTCAACAAGAGATCTAACAAAACACCTTTCCCCGCAGCTGCTGTGCTATGTTGTAAGTTGAGAAGGAGGAAGAGAGATGGTGATACATCGCTGTCTCAGTCTACCACCTGCTCCCTCTTCTCATAAACCCCCTCCATTTCAAACTTTTCTCTCTGGGCTTATGTCAAAAGCAGATTTTCAAAGGTTAGTTACCGTTTGTAACTTCAATAACTAGCGAGAACTGCTGTCTTATTTGCCTTTGCAGTTTAAACATGTAATTTGTAATTTAGTTGAGAAAACAAATTCTACCTGTGTACTGTTAGTGAATTTGTAATTTGTTTTACACTAGTATTTTGCCCCACATACAATAAAATTAAAGCATTACAGCTCGAAGGAAGACTGAATATATAAGTTATTCATTGAGTCATAGATAAACGGGTCTAATTTGTTAATATGGGTTCAGGTTTCACTCATCATCCGTAATTCCAACTTTTGTTAATGCCGGTACTGCTATTCAAGATCCCCTACTACAATTTTGGCTTTGCTAAAAATTAGGATATTAATATAATTTAGATAATGGACTAGTGCTGCAAAATAAACTTTAGCCTATACACAACTAACATATTGAATATAAAATAATTGGCCATTATCTTAATAGCCTTACGATAATCATTAAATCTCTAATGTAGTATTGCTCAATTGGGATGATTAGCACACCATAATTTTGTTTTTATTCTGCAAAATAGCGATTAATTCATTTCCGGTTTGCACTTTACAATAGCTTCATCGACGTTAAATATCCCTTCAATGTACCATTACAAGCAGTTTTAAAGTGATAAAATCTATAGATTAGTGCAATACCCAGCCCAGGTCAATCTATAAGTCTTGTGCTCGCTAGCTGGGTGATAGGGGAGGGTACAGGGGGGATCGGTTGCTAGGTGACCCTACATCCACAAGCAAGACGTCACAACACGTGAATCTGTGTCGCACTCTACAGGCTTTGTCGCAAACTAACAGTTGTTTACCATCCAGCCAGCTTGCAAAACTGTTTACTTTTATGTTCGTTATTCCATCTTCGCCGTTGTTTTCGGTTAATTTCATTTCGTGACACTTCCAACACACTCGTAACATCGAAAAGGTGAGTTTATTTCTTCGCAAATGACCAGATATAAGTGTAGTGTTGTCGAAACAGTTTTGACCTTCTGCTTTTTTGGTAAGTTGTTCAGTATGAGCTTGGTAAACATCTTTGAGTGAACTTCGAACTTACTGTTTGCCTATTACGGGTTGATTTATTTTTGGTTTGTTGTAAGTTATTATGTGGCCATATGTGGCACATAACCTAAAATCATTGGCCTAATTAGGTTATTCACGTTACAGCTTTTGAAATGAAAAAGACCATGTGGCCTTTAGTAATTGTTTAGGACGCTGGTTGCTCTAACTTTCCAATATGTTTACTCAGTTGTATGGTTGTATTCATAAATCTCTTGGGGATTTTAATTATTAGCTTTAAATTTAAATCATTTAATCTTTTGGCTATAACCTTGGAGTGAAGTTTATTTTCAGAACAATTTGGATGGCCTTCAATCCTAACCCAGCTGTCACATTCTTTCTTCATTTTATTTGATTAGAACTTAAGATAGGTTGGGTCGACTAAATTTCCACAGGCCTTAAGCTAGAAAACTCTTTCTCTATTGTGTCCTACTTATCCTGATTTTAAGAATCTCACTTTGAACAATATTAAATAATCTATTGTTTAAACTTAGTTCGCTGAGCCATAACTTATTAATTAATATTCTTTAGGTTTTGAGTAGGCCTACCCCTACTAACTTATTTTTGGCAGTGCTTGGCATCCCAAACCAATCTCTTTTCTCGCAGCCGGTTTGCTGTACCTAACAGTACAATATTTTGATAATCCCTTCTCCTCACATTAGTCTTAGCCTGGTAAACGGACGTACCCTTTGCGGCCCTCTGAGCAGTTTAAATGTAACTTGTGTTAGTTATTTAAACAACATCCAACCCTAACTCCCGTTGTAGGTACCGTACAAATGGCGACGTACAGGACACCTAACCTGCCTACCATGGTTTTACATGTTGGCTGCAATGTATTATTTTTTGAGTCTTTAGATGCTAGCGGCCATCTTGGATAATTTCAAACCGCTGCTGAAGAGTTATTTACTGTCCAAAAATATTTTTTTAAACACTAAAGTAGTTTATAATTTAAATATCTAGTATACTGTGGGATTAGAAATGTTCTTTGTATTTTCTAATTTGTTCTCCAAGGGAGTCCTTGGAAGATAACGGCCATAAGAGCAATGTTAATTTCAAACTGCCGCTGAAGAGTTATTTACCATTTTAATAGATTTTTTCTAACTCCAGAGTGATTTAAATTGAAATATCTAGTACACCGGTACTGTGAGATTATAAATTTTCTTTGTAGTTTTTTAATTGTTTTACGAGTTAGAATGTCAAGGCTCCAAAGACTCTTAAGTGCTTGTGTAAGTAATCTCTGGTTAAAACACATACCGGTACCTAGGCCTACATGTATTTTGACACATGTGCAGAAAGCTAGGCCGAAGTAAAATATAGTAGAAATGATGTCAGTGCGTTTAAAGCTAGTCTACTAAAGCTCTTGTGCTACGCTGATTACAACTTAGAGAAAAACCCCGGCTAACCGAATTCGGGTTTAACCGAAACCCGGGTTAATGGAAACGGGTCCATAATGTAATACAGGACTATAATATAAGTAAATACATCATATAAAAGGCTTTAGTACAGTAGAACTCCAATTATCCGAACTCCAATTAACCGAATCTCCAATTATCCGAATCGCTAATTTCAACAATTTTAAAAACGTAAAGCTACAGTAATAAGTTTTGCAAAATATCAAAGAATTGTTATTAAACACATTTAGCCAATTTTGGACTTTGATGGAACACTATTGACTTAATAACATGTACATAGAACATTTGTACTATGAGCATTGTAAACTGTAAAAACGTTCTGATTTAAATTATTATTAATTAAAAGTTCACTTATTACCGAAAATGAGGATTTTTCTTTAAAATTCCCGGAATTCCGGTAAAACTCCGATTATCCGAATTTTTGATTATCCGAATGGGGTCTGGTCCCTATTGATTCGGATAATCGGAGTTGTACATTTCAACATTTCTGTAGATGAAATAAAACACTGTATTATATAGACAATGTTTTAAATTCATTTTTCCAACTCACCGTAGTAATACATTGGCTATTTTTAGCATATGACGGGTTAACCGAAAAATTGGTTATCCGAAACGGCTCTCCCCCCTTTATTTCGGTTAACCCAGGTTCTACTGTACTTGCTTCTTTTTACTACGAAAGGGTGTATGCTGATACAAAGATCTACTTCTACGTTTTGTCTAGGCCTATTTAGTATGAAAAAGACCATATGTTAAATCAGAATACTTTTAAGGTACTTTTCAGTGATTTTATTTCTCAGTTTTCATAGTTTTTGCCCCTAGGCTATGTATTTTGTTTGGTTTTGTCGTAAATCGTATCCTACGTCCATACACTTAACTGTATTTCTCATGTATATCGATTGGTGTTGCAGTGTGATGGCTCCTGAACGGCCCGGAGGGGAGGACCAGCCTGTACCTGTGGCATTGAGTGCCACTAACTCCATCACTATACCTATCACTCTGCTCTCCATACCCAAGGACCTGCTTCACATCAAGGTAACACTCACCATGAGTTGATGCTGTTTTTTAGCGTGGATTATTCGTTAACTTAAAACAACATCCTGCATGTTGTCATATGCTTAGAAGCATGTTGTGAATGACAACTTTAAAATAATTTTAGCTAAGTTACAAAAGAGTTCAAGTTTTTTGTTATTAATTAATTAATTAATTTATTATTGTTATTATTAAGTTTGTTGTTATTTACTCTCTTAGTGGCATGGCTAAGGAGGAAGAGGGGGAAAACCGCCTCAAGTGCCAGTCTACGGTGTTGATAGAAAGTTGAAAAGTATAAATACATTGTGATATGTGAATGGTGTAAATTAGAGGTTTGCCAGCGGCTAGATTATCGCTGAGCCTATTGCCTCAAAAGTTGAGTGACCAAGAATTAAGTCAGACAAAACTGAGCCAAGCTGAGCTTTTATTCTCACAAAGAGGCACGAAAGAAAACGTCTTTTGAAGATGGCACAATAAAAAATATGACTTGATTCCATGCTCTCCAAATACCGTGTTTGGGTGTACTGGTACAACAATCAGACATTAAAATAAAATAGGTGAATACATTAAAATCAATAGTGTAGTGGGGTCAGTGTTCCGATTCTGCTTATTCCAAAATTTCTATATGTTGATAGACTACCTGTGATTTAGCTGAAAGGATGGTGAGTATTTATGCAGTGGAACATTTAGGACACCCACCACTAATAATTACAACGTTATTAAAGATATTCCATATGTATTTACAGGAAGGTGATGGAGCATCTGAAATACGCTCAGAGAAAAACGGCGAAGATGACGATCTTACTTCTCTAACGTGGCTTCAAGACAAAAATCTGCTCAAAGGTATTTTAGTCGTGGTGATAAGCCAATCACTAAAACAGGGTGGACGTCTTATTTTAACAAAAATTATGATAAATTTATTTTTTTGGAACAATTTTTTCAAACAAACAATTCACACTCTGTTGTTTAATCATTTATACACTTGGTATACACACGTTGTAGTGCACGTGCACGCCCGGCACACGGCACCATTTTCAAATTTTTATTTTTTTCCAAATCAAACTAAATCTACATTTTAATGTAGGCTAAAGGATGAATCATTTAGCAAAAAAATCCAATTAATCAAAGACAATCTTTTACCGACTTAAAATATGGCACATTTAAACTACAAAAGCAATTTAGGCCTTCCACCACCTTCATCTTTACCAACAAAACAATAAAACCCAAATACCCCCGCCGCAGCAAACCTGCAGACTAAGCGAATTTCAACTCGTCTGATTACACTTTTACTAAAATATTTCCATAAATAAGACATATTATTCCCTATTTAAATAACATTAGATTTAACGAGTGCTTAGGTTTGCTGCTACGGGGAAGGTAAAAAGTGTTTTTTGACCATACGTCAATAGTATAGGATGAAATAAATAAATTTGCCAAATTTTATCAATATATACCCATAAACAAGTAAACTACAACAATTTTCATTTTCTCCATAAGAATAACATGGGAATTTTTAATTACACTATTTTTGAATTTTCTCCGTGACCGTTAGGCATACAACAGCGCTTCAATATACTAAATTATTTCTTTTTTTAAGCTCTACAAAACGGTTTAGAAAGAAATTGCAAAATTTTTTGTTTTTAGGTTCAAAAATGGGAAAAACCCATTTTTACCCCATAAACCCCCGTTCCCATGGTCCGATTATGCTGGATCGCGAACTCGTTCGAATAAACGCAGGTTTACATGTTTGTACCAAATTTCATCAAAATCGGATCATTTTTGCTCGAGTTATCGCGCTAACGGACACATATATATATATATATATATAAATATATATATGTATATATATATGAATTTGAACGGATGGTGTTTTTGGCCTCTAGGGACCTCAAAATGAAAAATTAAATCGGTCTCGGGTCCAGGTCTTACCATGAGTACTACGTTAATAGCTTATTCCCTATATGGGAAATTCGCTAAAACGCGAAATTTCTAAAAAATATCAATAAGTCTTTTTTGCCTTATCAACTGTGTCTAGATTGTGATTGATTTTGTGTGACAGGTTTGCTATAGTCCTCGCCACCCTAAGTTGAGGCAGCCAAAGGCACTAGATATACGCCGTGCGGCCTTTGGCTGCCTCAACTTAGGGTGGCGAGGACTATAGTTTCGTTAAATTAGCAATAGTTAATGAGGGACTGTTAAGTTATGTTATTTTCTCAGATAGTCAACTTGTGAATGGGACATCAGTAACGGGTTTTCATTTCCAGTGTTGAACTTATTTCTAATTAAACTTGAGCTTATTAAATTATGATTATTACTTTATTTATACAGTCTACTTTTTTAAAATTCTTAAACCGCGCATTATATTTTCATTAACAAATCCGATCTGTACTGGTACGGTACTGAAGAAAAACATCAGAGACCACTCCTCTAGCCCTCCGAGTGTTATTTGTCGCTGCAGCGACACATAACACACTTTGTGTAGTGTTTTGTGTCGCTGCAGCGACTCACAAACACTGTTTACGGCGAAGGCTCTATGACTGACAAAATCGGATTGAACTGGATCGAGTTAGGTATCGTTTTATTTTATAGATTCAGAGCTTTCTCCGGAGGTCTGTCTCTAAGCGCTATTAATTTTAGTTCCAAAAATATTGTAGCAGACAGCTGACGTGCGTATTTGTAAACAGCTTGGTTATCCTCGGACCGATGACTGATGTGTTTTGTTACGTTTATCATTGTTTTAGTGTTAAAAATCAAAAGTAGTGATATACGTGGTGCATTATAAGAAGATTTAAGTGATTTTGAAGGGCTGGTTGATGATCCTGAAGAAGTAGGTAGTGATATTGATGTAAATTATCAGCCAGATTCCTAGCTATGGTTAGGCCATGCATTCTTAGCTAAACGCTATGTACTGAAATCTGTTTTTTGCCCATAACTTATTTATTTGCAAATCTACTTCCTTATATTATTATATATTTGTAATCCTCATAAAATTTAGAACAAAGTGGCTATTTTCAAATATTTATAGACCTATAATTTATACAATTTCATTGAGCGCGAACTTATTTTTTTTTTTTACATTTTCCAAAATATTTTTGTTTTACCTACAAAATTTTTTTGAAAAATGTTCCTTATGTTCTATGTATAATATTGAAGCCCACGATTTTCCAAACAAAATGGTATATAGAACAGTATAATTAACATTGTTTTCAAGCTTCTCAGATCCGTTTTAATAAAACCTTGCAAATGAGCAAAAAATAGGCAGACATTAAGGCCAAAACAAGGGACACTCGGAGGGCTAGAGAGATTGTATTGTAGCACAGCCAAATCAATTTAAATTGTCAGGTTGAATTCCGCTGGAATGGGTGCTGATTTGTCACTCAGCAGATAACACTTCATTTTCTGCGCTATTGTTTTTTTCCATTTAACCTTTCAAATACCGGTAGCAGTATTTATCTATCACATTCTTAGTAATTTCAAAAAGATTGTTTTGTTTGCATCTATTTTTACCTGTATCAGTGTAGAATATAATTTTTGGAGATATTTACCCACCTACCTAGATAATAGATTAAATTGAAAACATTTTGTGAATTCTCTAGAAGTAATACATTACAAATACACCTTTACGGTATGATAATTTTCTCGAGTATTTAAATTAAACTAGGCTTATAAACAATGCGTAGGAAAAGACTTTAGAAATCCATGGGTTACATTTAACCCCAGTGATTCATTTCATCCCCCAGCGTAAAACTAACAATTAAATATCTGTACATGTTTTATTGTGTTTATTTACTTCGTTTTGTAAAGGAACGGTCCAAACCCTGGTCTAGTTACTATCTACTGTCAACCTGTTGTTAGAAAGCATCATCAATTGGTAGCCTAATGACAAATGGAATCTGTTTTTGGTAACGATCTTGCAATGGAACCAGCGACCTCTAAGAATGTCAGTTTTACCAAAATAATGTTTATTCCTGATGACCCAGTTTTTTTTGTTAAAGAATGTTTATTATTTAAATAATGGTTAATGTTGGGGAGAACAGGTGTAGGCATATAGTAAATTTCTCCTCTCATATCATGTAGCAAATGAAGGAATGTTAGTTGAGTTGTCAAAACTACTACTAAGTGCTAGGTCAGTTACCATTTTGGTGGACTTTGCCCCACATGGGTCATACACCTCATGGCCCAATTATGGGTGGTTTGGACAACTACTATGTAAGACTTACACATTTGCTGTTGTATTAATTGTATTCATGTCCATGTAAACAAATTAGTGAACATCAAAACTGTCCTTGTTTAGTAGGTCCATACTAATAATTTTCCTGTATTCCTTATTTTCAACTTCTGTTAAATAATAAGAGATCGGTCTTAAGAACAAAAGCAACTCATATCGTTCATATCATTGTTGTTACTTTCAAATTATGAAACCATACACAACTTTTTAACAAAGTCTATGAATAAATTATTTTATTTTCCAGGTGTATAATATGTTAATACCATGCTATATTTTAGTCAAGTGATTAGAAATTATGAACAAATATCCACAACCAAAAATGTGCCATTTTTTGTCCAGGTATAAACCTGCGCACAGCTGGTACTGGGGTTCAGGAGTCCCCGACGAGTGACTATGTGGACGATAGCACGAGCGAACGAGACTCATCTTGTTCTAGCGTCAACAGCGGCAGTCCTACGCCTCCCCCCTCCACTACTGCACCTCCTGTCAAGAACAAGCATCCGCACCACATACCTTATGATCCACAGGTCAGTGGTGTAGCCTACATTGACGGTATGAGGAGTTAACTGGTGTGGACCACTGGCTGAAATAGAAGTATGGCTGACTCAGTGGTTAGAGCGCAGAATTTCTATTCTGGAGAGTGATTGCTCAAGTCCTGGCAATCACCAACGACAATTAGATAAGAGTAACTGTCTAAAATTTTATGTTTTTGAACATTTACACCAGGTTTGCAGATATGCCAATTTGCCAATTTCGTAGATGTACATCTACGACTACTTTCTTTTTTTTACGTATCGTCTTTACATCTTTAAATTTTTGTATCTTGATCCTTTCCCAGACTACATACAAATTATTTATTTCTTAGTTAAGTTTTACTCCATTTTAATCCCATTTAATGTAACTTATTAATTTATCAAGAATCCGAAACAGACTTGAAAAGTTGTGATATTGCACAGACAATGACTTGTTATGTTACTGTAGATAGTTTGCTTATTGGTTTTCAATCCTGGCACCATTGTGAAGTTACTCATTTGCCAGTAACTCATATACTTTCCTGCTTCAAGCAAAATTGGTTCTCCAAACAACTATGAAGTGCTTAAACCAGACCTCTACTGGTCATGTAAGTCAGTTAATTTAAAGGCATTCTAGTACAGAATGTTTTGATATCCTTGGATTTTGGAAGTGACACTGAGGTAGCTATATAGTTGATTATATAACTAGGTATGTATTTAATGAAAAGAAAAGTAATGTCCCATAGCATTGATACACCCTCAATATTTTACGAGACTTACCTTTTTATACCCCCAAAATTTGTCTTGCGCAAAAAATCTCAGTCTTTAACGATTCATTATTAATTTATATTTCCAGATACACACAACATCCAAACCCCCATACTCGTTTTCTTGCCTGATCTTCATGGCTATAGAAGAATCGCCAGGCAAGGCTTTGCCAGTGAAGGAGATCTACAACTGGATTCTAGACCATTTCCCTTTCTACAAAAACGCCCCGACTGGTTGGAAGAATAGCGTTAGACATAACCTCTCGCTCAACAAGTGTTTCCGTAAAGTGGACAAAGCCCCAGTAAGTGGATAATGTAGTTAGAATTTGGATAAATTTACATTGATTGATCAATGTGTTTAAAATTGTAATGCTGTTTTTACAATGTCCAAAGGTAGGGTACACATATCCTCCTATTTTCTAGCTATTCCCAGTCCCAGGCATGGGTGTCAACTACGCCTTTCCCCGGTCTCCTATCCCTCAACAGTTCTTCGTTTTCCTCGTCCCTCTTCACCTCTTGACCTTCTCAATTCCCTAACTTATCATCCACTTATCATACTAGAAATTCTCTCTTTACACATTCTTCTCACATGTTCAGACCATCATAGTCTAGATTTTCTACACTCCCACTAAAGCTGTCTACAACTAGTCCTCTTTTAATCCCTTTACTTATCTTTGGGTAGCTTTTGAAGATGAAATAAGACGATCTGCAATATTTCCCTCGTTGATTAGAGAAAGTAAATGCAGGAATTAAGAATGTTGCCAAGTTCTAGTTTAACAAACATGCTTTAAAGCTAGTTGGATAAAAACAAGTTATTTCTTACTGTCAATGAAAATTGTTGGGTATTCCCATTTAATTTCGACAAAGTAGCTGTGTTATCAAACGTTGGATGGGTACACTTTTTATGAAGATATTATCTATAAACCATTAATTTATATTGGTTAGTTTATTCCCCCATAGGATAACATAGTGACCAAAGAACTTTGTTTAGCTTTGTATTGATTATTACTGTGTGTGTTTGGCAGAATCTAGGCAAGGGCTCGCTGTGGATGGTGGACCCCCTTTACCGCTCCAATCTGTTGACAGCTCTACAGAAAGCCCCGTACCATCCCTGTGCCTCACTTGACACTAACTCTCCTCCCAGCACTACCACTAGGTAAGCGAACCCATGCATTAAAGCGGCTGTAGTCTCACAGCTGATTAAAGATTTTTTACAAGAGGTAGGCCTATTAGTTGACCTCTCTTGAATTTAAACAATGTAGTGAGGGATTTAGTTAGTAGTAGGCTTAAATGCTCTCATCAACATTTTAAGTACGCACAATAGTTTTATCAGTAATGACTCTTTAGTCATAAACTATTCTCAAACAACACCTTGGTCCTTTGATTGAAGTTCATCTTGGGTGATGATAGTGAGTTTTAGTTTATATGCCTAATAAATAATTGCAAACATTTTCCATCACAATTAGTCATAAATAATGATTTTAAACGTTTCTAAATCTGGTATCTGATCTCATCTGAGGTCTACTTTTCTTGTAATGTTTTAAATTAAGGACGGGGTCAGATTCCAGATACAGAAACGTCATGAAAACATGGATTTTACTAATTGATATGGGAAATGTCCGCAGTACTATGTTAAGATGGCAGTAATTTCTCCATTGATGCAAGTTTATTTGAACGCCAAAGATGTGTTAGTGTCAAAAAACTATGTTTGGAAAGGAAGAAAATTTTCTTCCCAACTCAAAATCCTTGGTTAGAAATGCTGTCAGCAGCGTCAGTGAAGTATTAATTTTTTGTGTGTAGTGGAAAGTTTGTGTATTTCACGTGCCACTATGAACTCCCATTTAGGTGACAAAAATATCTGAGTAGAGATAGTGACATAACTTAAATGTCGATTGCAGCCCTAAGAGTCCGTCAGGCAAGTCATACAGTGGTGGGAGGCTGCCTGATCCGTCTTTGTTCCCGTATCTGGCTCGAAGGTTGGCAGCTGTGGAAGGCTCAGGTCCTCTGGACGATGTTGATGCTGCAGCAGCCATGTTAGAACTCAAACATGGACCTTTGCGACGAGGTAAGAGGCACACCATTGTTTAGTTCCTGTCTTCTTTATGTACCTTTTTTTTAATTTGCTAATCTTAGTCATTATAAAATCAACCAATGGTCAGTTGTCTATCCATTTTCCACAGCTTTACTTTATGCACTTATTTACACAGTACGAAAAGAGTGTTGTTACATTTTTATCTAGCAAAGGTTACGACATCCACTGGATAGTTTGTAATAAGTGTCTGGTAAACTATTAAATGTTAGTTTTATGTATATTTGTTGTTTTCCGTGTTATTTTCATTAAAACAACTTCTTACAAACTAAATGTCTGAAGTCCTGGAATTTTGGACTTCAATTACATTCCTTTACGTAATTAGATTTTTGTTGGTAGTTTTAACTAGTATTCGATACTAACACTCTGGCCCTGACTGATCATTATTGAAAATGAGATATATCAAGTAATGTGTATAATGACTTATTTAAAATTAAAACGATCCTATTGTATATTGAGATGTGAAATGTGATTTCAGATGAATATCATCGAAGATTAGGTGCACAGATGGTTCAAAATGCTCGAGGGGCCAAGAGAAAAAGCAAAAATGAGATAAAAACTGAGGTAACACTTGAAATAACTGAACTTGTGCTAACTTAAATGAATGCTTAATTACTCTTGGAGATATTTTATCTATAGTATGGAATTTACACTTTTGGATCAATATTAGATTTTTCTTTCTCGGCTGTTGGTGGTCATGAAATCAACATTGGTACACTCCCTTTGAACAATCACAAGTTTGTTAACCTTAACAAATGAAACTGATAGACATGACTTTAAGAGGTCAAAAGAAATGAATGAATCCATTAAATATCTGATGAAGTGTATCAGATATCAACCATGTAAATCAAGGTACAGTTACAGTAGAACTTTGATAGTTCGACATGACCCATGATGACGTGATATGTCGGCAGTGGCCTGTTACGGGTTCGCAGAGGTCAAAAACTAAATAAATCCCTTTTATTGTTTTGGTGCACGCAAAAACTCAATACTTTAACCATCCCAATAATTTACATTTTTTTAAACATCCAAAGTGAAGAGCAGTTGAATGTATTTTGTACAATAAGAAGCCCAAGAATGTACAGTAGAGATTTAAGTTGCCAAGTTTCTTTATTTTTGTCAAACTATTCATAAAGTTTTTTTGCTTTATCTCGTGTTTTAAATGCTCCCTGTGTGTAAACGTCCAATATACACCCTCTTAGTCCACATAGTGACTAACTATCGATGTTCTACTGAATTGCTAGTTGCTATTTTATGTTTCCCTCTGTGTTTTGCTACAATGGTGTGTGTGATGTGCTAGATGCTGATCACCTCGTCACCCAGTGAGGACCACACCTACAGTAGTGCTGAGCCCTCGGCTACCAACCCCTCCACCATGGTCAAGAGTGAACCTACCTCTCCTGACGAGGCCTTCCAGGAGGGCTCCGACTCTGACTCTAGGTAAGTCATATCCCTGATCTCCTGGAAAATATATTTATATGACAGTTTGATCCTGGATACTTTTGATTTAGAAAATGCCTTTTTTACAGCTTTATCCTGCTTAATCCTAGCCTCTGGGGAAATTCCTGGTACTTCAATTGTTGGTTTCTAAAATATATTTCACATTCAATGATTCAATCCAATTTGATCTTCCATCTGTCAATTAACCCAGGCGTCAAGTAACGCGTTAACGTTAATAACGTTAACCTGTTCAAGGTTTTTACGTTTGCAACTTTGCTTTTTCAGTTGGAACACAGTCCCAGTGAAAGCCGAAGAGGACATGGAGGAACAGAGGAAGATCGCAGAAGGCGCAGATGCTCTGTTGAACCTGGCCGGCATCAATACACAAGGTTGTGGAGCAACACCACTCAAGCGTCAACTGCCTCGGCTGCTGCGCAAACCTTCTCCTCGCTGGAAGACGGAGAACAATAATGTTATAAATGCGGAACAGTACCGACCACCCGCCAAGATGAGGAGAAAATCACTCTCGGCTTCCGCTAAACAAAAATTGAAGAGGTAGAATTACCAGTCATTCCAGTCGGGTAGTCTCCCTAGTATAGAGTTAATTTTAGGAAGAGACTCAAACAGTTTTATAGACCAATTAGAGAGTGATATATCGAGTTAACACGGTTTGTTCGGAATGTTCTACTCTGATGACCGTAGTACAAAGGTAGCTGATAGCGTAGGTATCGGGTCTCATTGTGACCAATAGAATGAGCTTCCGCCTGACTTATTTACTGCGCTTCTCCAATAGGATCTAATTATATGCAGCCTGTATTTATTTGTGGACTTACTTTTACCTATGTTTAGGAAGTCATTGATCTGTTGTTGTATCGAGTGGTAAATGCTTTTCATGGACAATATCACAATAAGAATCAAATAGAATAAACAGTATGTTTTAGCTTTAGATATATTTTTAACACTACACTCTGCTGGCTTTAAAATGTACGCAATATGTACATTTCTCTTAAAATATTTCACTATGCAAACTTAATGATTAGCTAAGATTTCTCTTACCAATTGCATCAACTCTTGATAGCATTTATCACTCGAGATAATGACATTTTGGAGGTAAAAGAAATGATCAGCAATCTTCGTGTCTTACTATGCAGTGTGAAATTACACATCAAGTGCTGTGTATTTTTATACCAAAAGCCTATAGCAATAATGATTTGTGTTTATATGGAGTCATTGGTTTTTATGTCGCTTTGGTTTTGGGTTGGATTGGCATTCCAAGAAAATATTTCTATGATTGATTTCTTAATCGGGAATCACATATTTTTATGTGAAATTCTGTTTAAACTTTAGAAATTTCTGATAGATAAATATATGATACTGGTAAGCAAAATTTGGGATATACCTGTGCTGAAGAAGGTTCTTTTAGTGCTAAAAATCTTAAAGTCTTAATTTAAAATTTTAGCATAGTCGAGTGTTTGGTTTGGAACTGTTCTTCATTTTTATTTTAACTAACAGAGTTTTAGGTGTGTAGCCACAATTGTATTAATAGACATTCTATTAACATTTCAATCTATGTTCAAAATATACATATTTTTGTAATTAGTAAATATCACATATTTTGGTAGTCTTATTGCCAGATATTCTACTACTTATGTAGAAAATAATCTGTGGGGTGGAATATGTTGTCACTGAATTCAACTTGTATTTCAAAAATATGACACACAATTTATGTGTTGATTGAACAGATGAAAAATGTTGTATTAGCTGGGAATGGGAAAAGTCAAAAGAGACCTAAAGCAAGATTTACTCTTTTAGTACTTTAGTATTGTAAAACAAAATATTAATGTAATAAGATCATCGAGCAGGTGTTTTAGTATACCCAACATAATATTGCTTCCTTCATAGTTAATTAGATATCAAAACTTCTGCTTCAGAGTTTAGCTCAAACACTGATTGCCCATTTAAAGTATCTAATTAATTTCTTCCTATATTGCAATTGAAAGTTGCAAACCTTGTGCCAAATTGTTGAAATAAATGTTAGTTTTATCATTCGTTTGCCTGCACCAATCATTATTTACAAAGCGTTGTTGTACATTAAAAGTTTTATTGAATGTATGTTGTTATTGTTAACACCTTGTGACTGTTTTGAGTTCATAATTTTATTGGACCAAAGTATATTTATCCAATTATTCGTAATAGAACTGATAGAGGAGAGGATTGTATTCATGGTATATTAGCTAAGGAAGAGAAAAGTTAATTAAGTATTTTTTTATTTGGTTTTATCAGAGACAGTTTAATTTTAGAGATTAACTAATTGATTTTAATATTTTTTTGAACTTGTCTTAAAGTAATTAGTTATAAGACTGTGAAATATATTTTAATTCTCACTTGACAACCAACACCACAATAAACATTGAAGGTAAATGTTAAAAAGCAGTGTTGACTTTGTTGAGGATTTCTTTTCACTGTCATGTTTAGGTAATAACTCTCTTGTTACTACCAAATATAAATGGTCATGTGAAGTTATCTGAATTACAGGATTAGTACGGTTGATATTCATAGTTTCAAACCTGTTCTTTCAACATTTTTGGTATTCTACCTCTGTGTTCAATAACTTATTTGACAATACTATATGAGATTATACAAGTTAAAATGCTTATCTTTCTTAACTCTTGATTTATTCATAAACAGTAAAAGTAAAGCCAAGAAATTTCACCTGAAGTCAATCTAGTCATAGATTTGGTAGTAGAATTGGCCAACGTAACTTTTTTAAATCCTCAATTGTTTGAAAATGAATAGCTCTAAATTAAACAACATTGATACAGATTTGAAATTGTGAGTGTCAACTGTTTTTACTATAAGCCAAATACGGTTATCTTTTATTTCGGTTAACTCGAGCAATAAAAACATACAAAGAAACACCTAAACTAATTTAGTATCTATTGTAATTAGGGTTTATCACTGTAGATAACGATACTCGTAGTGACATACCCTGTATAACATCGTAATCGGAATAGCCTTAATTAGCTGAACCTAGCCTGTTATGAATCGATAAAGTAGAAGTAGTGCCGTTCTTTTGACAAATATGTGTAATGAAATATGTGTTTTTGTATGTAGCGAGAATCTAGATAATCTTGACAATCTTTTCTTAGCGAGTTTGATATCAAACGTATACATAATCCTCGTCTCCTCCCATTCTCTGTCCAGTCTTCCTGCCCAGATGCCAAACTCAAACACCCTTGGAACTGTAAAAATGTATAGAACCGTGTATATATTGTTGAAACTTTAATTTGTACAACGTTCACGTCTTGAAAAGACTATAACTTACGAACTTAGCGGTAAAGTACGCTTTGCGGTTACAACGCTGTAGCGTTTTTGTTTTTTGTCGTTGTTAGGTTTTATTTTGTATGTAGGTTTTTGGTTTGGTTGTGAAATAATCACATTACTCATGGGTTTCTTTTCATAAAAGGTTTATTATCTGAAAAATTGTTTCCAGGTTTTATCATGTAATTTCTACTGTTTTTGATTCAGGTATTTTGTTTTCTCTGTGTTTCTTAACTAAAAACTAAGAGTTTTAATGGGTTAACTTCAATCAAAATATTTTGTACAAATGCTTTACTTTGTCTGTTACTGTAGATAGTTGTTATTCTGGTTAAGTACTTAGAGTTACTAGTTACCAGACATCGATTGAGTTAGTTCCGTTCTTTTACAGAAACCTGTGAACTAGTGCTAAGATTGAAATCTGCTAACATTTTTATGGGTGTTTATTTTTAAGCTTTTTTTTCAGGTTTAGGCCTAATTAACACTTGCTTGATCATGAAAAGTTATGTTTTGCTTTCAAAAAAGTGTTGTTATTTATTTTCTACTTTCGTTAGGATTATTTCGTATGATTTACGAATCATCGCAATCACTTTAGTTGAATCCTTAGGTATAAGGTGTTAATTGTAAGAAAATGTTATTTTTGTAAATTATATACACTACTGCTGAAGCACTTTATTTTAATTGTATCTACGGTTTATTTACTGGTTGTTGAATGCTCATTTTCTAGCTGACTGTTATCTTAATTTGAACCTCTTCTGGTTGTATTATAATTTTATTTATTTATTTATTTTACTACAAACTTGTTCTATATTATCCTCAAAGTGTGGTAATTGCATGCCTGGTAATGTTTAGGTTTACTTGTTGCTTTACAATACCTTAACTAATTCTGTATTTAATAAGTTCTTTAGCTTTTATAAGCTGTCACAGTTTTGTCACTTGTGCACTAAATTGTTTTTTCAAGTATTGGAAGTTCTAAATTCTCCTATTGTCAATTGCCGATACAAGTATTGTATCCTTTTATGTAATAAACAAAGTACGCTATTCTTCTATAAAGCTAAGTCTTCCAAAAATTAAGTGTGGGTTGTCCCAAAAAGTTGATTTTTTTAGCCTCTGACGCCCAATAGAAGGTAGTTTTAGAATTGTTTTAACTTGTAAAATGCCATGCTTGGCGTTAGTATTCTAAATATGTGTTCAACTGGTGTAAATAATTCTAAATTAATTTTGACAGCTTCTACGAGCATAGTAACCCCGTTGTCGACAGAATTAGTGATGAAATTATAAAGAAAAGCAATAATTATTATGTAACTATCATAAATAAGACTTGTTTGTTTCTCTTAGTATATATATTATAATAAATATAAATATTACATTTGATCAAGTGTTTTAATTTATCCTGTTAAACCAATATCAGATTTTTAAAATTTAAGTTGACTAACTAAATATACCAAGTGAAAACTAATCCAAGTCATTAGAATTAGTTTCAACAAAATAAAGTTAATCAGCAATGATACAACTTTATGTAAATAAAATAGAAATCATCTCCTCTAACTTACATTTTACTTATTGCTAGTGTTTATAATCTGACCCCGCCAGCCGGCGAGCATTTCTCAGCGGCTGGCGAAGTCGGACATGTTCAACTTTTGGTAGTGAGGCAGCGACGACTAAAGGTCACGTGATCACTTGCACTCGCTGATGCCAGCCAGCAGCATAGTCTGACCACCTCTACAAGTGTGCCAGCGGCGACCAAAGATAATTTTCAACTTGGTTTTACACAAAAGCACCTGTCTCAATTTTTTTTCAATTAGATGTTTAACTCATTCTAGCAATTCCTGTAATGTATTTTCGTTCGTAATGATGAACATTCATAAAACTATTTTCATTTTGTATGTTTCTGATTCATCTTTTAATATATGCAACGGGCTTGAAGAACCCTACTGAATCTAACTGTTCCTTTTTTTGTATCCAAGGCCTGGTACACTCTCTTTTTGCGGCTAAGTATAATTAAATTAAGTTCTTTTTCTTTCAAACATACCCTCAATATTAGATTAAGACTGGTTTATGAGGACAAATGGCGACAAGAATTGAGCTTTAAACTAGGCAATTAAAAGTAGTGATTTGTACAGTAGCGTAGAAATGGCTGAGCTTAAGTGGTCATGGACGCAGGTTACTGATTTCTTATATCTCTTCTAAAACTAAGCGTGCTTGTGGGACGTTTCTTCAAAGTAGTAGGAACGTCAAAGAAGCAGCTTACAGTGAGTTGTTGCAAAACCTCACAGCTGTTCTTTCTCACACATATCCTCAATGATCACTTAAGTATTTGTTACGAGGTCCCACGGACACTGATCACCAGTGGCTGAAAAGCAGCCTAGTGTGACCCGTACAAAAGCTGCTGCTTGGTGGTGCTGATGCCAGCCGCTGATCACCAGGTGCCAGGCGAGCAGCCTAGTGTGGCCCGTACAAAAGCCGCTGCTTAGTGGTGCTGGTGCCAGCCGCTGATCACCAGGTGCCAGCCGAGCAGCCTAGTGTGACCCGTGCTTTGAGTGATAGGAAACGTTTTGTCACATGTTTATAATCTGACTGTAGTTTATCATTCAACTGCAGTATCAGCTGTTGTATTACATTACAATAAATATTTATCCCATTATATTACCATTACCATCATTAACCTCGGTTATCTGGACGGATCTTGTCCTATTTAAAACTAACTTAAAATAATTTACATTACTAACTACATAGCTGTTGGTCAAAACAGCATCAGTGGATCATTGAAGGTAAACTCTAGGGGGGGGGGGGGGTGAAGCCCTAAATAACGTTTACGTTTTATTACCATCCACAGGTGTGCTAGATCATAGGCTTTAAAGTGACACTTCAATCGTCAAAATCTGTTTAGTAGGATGGCTGGAATAGGGATGTAACACCAAAAACCCTTATTATATTAAATATATAGATCATGACGATATTAATTTATTTATTTTCCCTCTTTTTTAAAAGAAATTTTGTAACTAAAAAAATCGGACCAAGATCCTATAGTGCATAGATCCATTTTGGAAGAATAAAACATAGGTGTGATATTCCTGTCATGCTGACGTCACCTAGATTGCAAACGCCATTTCACTATTTAGAAAACATTACAAAAACAAAACAAATATATACTTATATGACAGTTACAATTAGGTATTTTCTGTTTGCAATCTGGGCCTGGGTGATGTCATCCTATGACGGGAGTATCACACCTATGTTTTATCCTTCCACCGTGACAAAGATCTATAGTGTGTCTCAACCACATGTTATAGCCTATAATTACAATATTCTATGTTGGCAATAAGTTAAATCAAAATATCTGTCAAATGTTGATAATTTGTGTTCAGTTTAGATATCAACAATAGTTGCTCACTTTTATATCAATCTATTATATCTTGTAAAATAAATAATTTTGAATGTACCAATCTTTTCAATCATCAACTTATACAAAACTTTGCACCTCACAGGGCCAAGACAATATCTGGATATAAAATATGTGGATTACTAGGGCTTTAATAGTATTGAACTCATATAAGTAAACTCATTAGCTTGAACACATCAAAACTCAAGAGTGCATCCTCTCTAGGTACTCCAACGTATTAGTATTAAAATTATGATGATTATTAGTATTGAAATGATGACTAATCAATTTGATACAAACCACTAAAAAGAAAACTTTTGATATTAGTTACACAGGCTTTAATGTTTACCAAAATATCAAAAAAAAGATTGTAGAATCTGAGGTGTTTTTGAAAGTGTACTGTGTAGGGATATTGCGATTCAAACAAAAGGACTAAATAAATTATAAGAAACAATAATAATAAGGTATTTTTATTTGGTTTACAATTATTGTTAGTGTAATGCAAACAATGGAATACATGATTGAAATAAAATGGCACGTAGGCCTACCTAGGTAAAGCTTCCAAGCATTTACAAAAATCAGCGATCTATTTACAAAAATTGCAACATTTACAATATTAAGATAATTTTAGGTCAGAGAAGTAAGAAACCGAGGATACATTACATGGTACACTGATGTGGTGTCTAGCACTACTGCTGGCTGCTGGTGTATAGGCCAAAGTCCCGCAGCGCCACCTTCGTCCTCATGTACTGCAATGCTCACGTTGGAGGAAGACCTTGTGCCAATAAAAATTTCCATTTGATATGTTCCTTGCTTGTTCGCCCACCCCTGGGGCCGGCCCTGGTTAGGCAATAGGCATCTTTATTTCTGTGAACATTTGTATAAAGAAGGTGCTTATGAAGTTTTTTTATGTATTGGGTTTATTTTTTGATAAAATGATTTAATTAGTATTGGCAGACATATTCAAGTGTCTTGACTTTCACCAAAGAAAACATACATTTGTACTATAACCCAGAATGCTAACCGCATGGTAAAAAGCGTTATGTACTTGGAGAGAGTAAGTACTCTCTCCGAGTACTTAACGCTTTTTAACATGCGGTTAGCATTCTGGGTTATAGTAGGCCTAGTATGTTTTCTATGCTTGCACACAATGTTCCTGAAATTTCCTCCACTCATTTAAATCTCTCAGAGTTGGAAGAGTGGAATACGATCAGCAAGTAGGCCAAGGTGTTTTTACCTTGGGGGTGTTTAAGAGGGGTCTTTACCAGCTACCCCTCAGATTTCTAACTTAAAGAGCAGAGTTACTTACTCGCTTTCTTAACAATTGGCAAACTGTGAAATCCATGTTGACCGCTGACCACCAGTACGAGCTACAACTTCCACCCGGTCGCGTCACCTGTCTCGTATCTCCGAGTACTCGGTATTTTTAATGTTAAATGTTCGTCTTTCAATGGGCGTTTTTGTGTTCTATGTAGGTACCTATTCAGGGTGTCCACAGAAATTTTGTCATCAATTTCCCTGACTTTCCATGACTATCCATGACCATTACCCATTGATTTCCATGACTCACGAACTTAACTCAAAAATTATAATATACCGTACACACACGAATAATACTGCCTAGACAAGTTATTTCACAGAAAATATTGAAATATGTATTAACAGATAACAATGGAGTACAATAGGTACAACAATGAACTAATACAAACTCAAAACCTATAAACTAAGACAACTGTATAAATTGAAATTGTCGTACATTTGTGAAAAATTCGGAAAAATACTACAATAGTCGCGGTTACGGCCGACTAGAGCATTGAAAGGTCCCCTGAAATCCATCCATCATTGGGGATTTCCATGACTTTCCATGACTTTTTGCCTATTTCCATGACTTTCAATGACCATAATTTTTTTCCATGACTTTCCATGACTATCCCTGACTTTCCAGAATGTGGACACCCTGCTATTTATTAAATGACGACCTTCATATACGGAGGTGAATAACGACGCCTTGTACGGCCTGAAGATGATTCCCTGTGAATCGAAACTATAGTGGCCACAAGCAACATTTTGGATTACTGAATGCAGGTATTTAAACCAAATATTCAAACGTAATCCGGGAGGCTAAAAACTCTTGAAAACTAAAACTTTAACTTTATAGGCTATTTTGGCAAATCTTTTTAAAAACATAAGTTAAGATTTGAACTTAAAAATGTATGTTTTCATTCAGATCATAGATAGCCTACATTAATTTGCTATAGGCTATATTTATTAGACTAAATCAGAGCATAATTTAAATATCTTACACCACAACCACCTTCTTTATTGAACTTGAGCAATATAAGTTAACCTATGTGTTCTACCTGCCTTATCTGCCTTCTATCCTGCAGTCCATCCTTCTATTCTTCTTTGTGACACGATACCATTTTTTTCTGGAAAATTTATCTTATCAATATCTAATGTGGTTGGCCCAAACAGTCCCTTCCTAAAGGCTGTGATGAACTGTAAGGCTGCAAACTCAATGTTAGGAAGTGAAACATATTTCCCCTCAACATGTTTCACTTTCACAAACTTGTCATTTTTTACAGCAGAAAGTGCTAAAACTTCTGATATATCATCACTAGGATTTTCACAATCAAGAAAGTTTACATATTCAAACCTCCCATGCTTGTTCATCCAAAACAACAAGAAATCAGCAATCAATAGTAATCCTACTTCTTTATCAGGGATGTTAGAACAAAGAGCAAGTTTCATACCATCTTCTACTGAAGGTACTTTCGGAGTAAGAATCCCTGGGGTGTCATATATATATATTAACGGATCGTCTGATATTTTAATTTTGGAACCTACACTTCTTGTTATTCCTGGAGCTGCCCCAACACGAACTGCATTACTCTTTAACATATATTTGTTCCTTAAAAGATTAATGAGTGAAGACTTGCCAACATTTGGTACTCCAATAACCATCAAGCAGCTATCCTTGTTCTCACTACGATTGTATCTAGAAGAGTTTGCTATTTCCTTTTGAACAAGAGGAATTAATTTCCTGAGACCTCTACACTTGTCATCTCTACAATCTGTGAATAACACATTTTCGAAGCCCTGTTCTTTATGTTTCATCACAACCAGTTTTTCAAATCGATTATCAGCTAAGTCCTTTTTATTATAAACAAGAATGTGAGGTTTCAATCCACTAATGGTTTGAAAAGCGTCAGGATTCCTTCCTGAGAAAGGTATCCTTGCATCATGCATTTCAATAATGCAGTCCACTGACTTGAGTTTCTTCTGCATTTCTTTAACTCCCTTCCCCATGTGACCAGGAAACCAATGCAAAACACTTTTATTCTTCAACTGAAAAGTAGTCCTAAATTGTTTGGCTGCATAGATTCTATGACTTAAAAACACCATGATCAGTTAAACAGTTTCATTAGGCTAGCCTATATTTGGACCTGACTTAACTTATGACCAATTAATTCTTCTTCACACTAATTTATATACAAAGCAATAAGTTTGGGTTTCTTGCGATTCTTCAAAAACGTAATTAACTTACAGTAGTACCGACACAGGTCACACACAAATCACAAAATTAACCTTATAAAATTGCTTGATTTCACTTAAAATTATCAATGAAATCTTCTAGGTTATGTCAATCAATATTGTTTTTGATTTGATTTTAAACATTTAGCAATTTTCTTCTTCTTCTTTTCTTGTTTGCTTATAGAAAGCTGGCATAGATAATCTACCATGTAGTCACATTTATTCATTAAACTGTTAAAACCAATACAGTAAATAGTTATTTTGTACAACTAGTGAGCAAAGTGACGGCTCGTGAGTAAGTATTTCTCTGAGTGAGTCAATTGCACTTTGCACTCGAGTTGCACATTATATTTTTCCTACAGATACCATAAAACAAATAAATTGGTAAAGAAATGTAACATATTTTTCCTACAGTTACCTAACAATGTACATGTTCTCTCACTGATTTGAGAAAGCAAAGTGGCCAATTCGCTCATCAGTGAGACAATGTTAACATTGTCTCACTCTAATTACTTTGTCTCACTCCAGATTTGCAACGTGAAGGCACGGCGTAACATGCAGGCAACGTCGTATGCGCGCGAAATACGTTGGCAGCACTGGCTGTAAATCAGCTGGTCAGCTGTTGTACTGTTGCATGATTAAATGTCATATTAAAAGTACATTTCTGTGTAAATAGTTATTTGTGCAACTCGAGTTCAAAGTACAATTGCCTCACTCCAGAAACCATTCCTCACTCGCCTACGGCTCGTGAGTAAGGATTTCTCTCGAGTGAGTCAATTGCTCACTTTTCTCACTAGTTGCACAAATAACTATTTCCTACAGTTACCTAACAATGTACATGCTCTCTCTCACTGATTTGAGAAAGCAAAGTGGCCAATTCGATCATCAGTGAGACAATGTTAACATTGTCTCACTCAAATTACTTTGTCTCACTCCAGATTTGCAACGAGAATGCACGAAATAGTGAGCGCGAAACATGCAGACAAGGTCGTATGCGCGCGAAATACGTTGGCAGCACTGGCTGTAAATCAGCTGGTCAGCTGTTGTACTGTTGCATGATTAAATGTAATATTAAAAGTTAATTTCTGTGTAATAGTATATTACGTTACTAGTCCTGAAAATAAGTGTTTACCGGACGAGGGTGGTCGTTCCCGTGCGAGACGAAGTCGAGTACGGGATTACCATACGAGTCCGGTACACACATTTTGGACGAGTTACGTACGATAGTTTACGCCATACTACTTAATCCGTACAAATCCTTATATATTTCCACCAACTAAAGGACTAATAATCACTAGTCATAACCTCTGAGAGAGGTTATGTTTTTGTTTATAACCAATAATTGCCACGAAAATACAGTATAATCAGCTGATTGGTGTCCGGTAAAACTCATTGCAGAACAGTATTACGCAATGAAACCCCATTTGAATAAGCTGGTGGCAAACAGCTGTTTTCTGGACTAAATCCTTGCGTGGGAAGTTCGTCAAAATAATGTAGTGTGGCGTAAAAGTACATTGTTGTGCATGCTTAATAGCACGGCCGCCTTAAACCACAGGCCGTGGCCTGGTAGAATTGGCAACGTTGCGAATGGTGTTGTTTAGTGTCAGACGTCCCATAAGACAACATGGCAGACAGGTGACATCAGCTCATCAATTCGCACTTTATTGATTTAAATTTAAATTTATTCAAATAAATTTATTAAAATATTGAAAATAAAACGAACAGAATTGAAACCCGAAACAATATGAATGAAAAATTTATATCTACACATTATAAGTGGAGTCATTATTGTAACAATCCAGTAACCAATCTTTCGTAAATACACAAATACCATTAGCTGCTTCCAAACAAACCATAGCTGTTGCCGCTTCGAAGGCCGCGGCCTGGAGTTAAAGGCGGCCGTGCTTAACAGTAACAACTCAACTTTACATCAAGAGGAAATATATATGTGTGGGCGGCTGTTCAATAATTTAATAATCTAAATAAATAACAAGTAACAAAAATTGAGGGCAATAGAGTAACTAATAACAATAATTATTGTTATTGTTACTCTATTGCCCTCAATTTTTGTTGCTATGAAATAATATAGTTCATGCTACATGCTATGAAAATCATTAACTACATGCCAAAGTGCATTCTACTGTTATAGTGTGTAAATAATATACACTATATAAAATATATAGTGTGTAACAGTAATAAATATGCTCTTGGATAACAACATAGATAAAACAATCTTTTGTTTTATATACTGATACACTCTCTTTTATATACTCTTCTTTATACACTCTTCTCAACCGATGATTTCTTCGCCATCACCAATAACGTTGTAAGTAATCAATCATTCCACTCCACTGAGCTAAAATTATAACTGGAGGTAGCACTGCCATGGCAGAAGTCTGTCAAAAGCGTGTCGCTGATTTTGTTAGGTTGGTATAGCAGTGAGTTTTTTTATCCAATAACATGGCTTCTATAACTAGGTTGGTATAGCAGTGAGTTTTCTTATCCAATAACATGGCTTCTTATAACTCACACCTCACGCAAACATGGCGGCTGGCGACACGCATCTTTGACATTTAGTGTTACCTCCAGTTAGCTCAGTGTTCCACTCCACTAATAATCTAAAGGTTGCCGGTTCGATACTTAGGACTTGAGTTTCTTCTGCATTTCTTTAACTCCCTTCCCCATGTGACCAGGAAACCAATGCAAAACACTTTTATTCTTCAACTGAAAAGTAGTCCTAAATTGTTTGGCTGCATAGATTCTATGACTTAAAAACACCATGATCAGTTAAACAGTTTCATTAGGCTAGCCTATATTTGGACCTGACTTAACTTATGACCAATTAATTCTTCTTCACACTAATTTATATACAAAGCAATAAGTTTGGGTTTCTTGCGATTCTTCAAAAACGTAATTAACTTACAGTAGTACCGACACAGGTCACACACAAATCACAAAATTAACCTTATAAAATTGCTTGATTTCACTTAAAATTATCAATGAAATCTTCTAGGTTATGTCAATCAATATTGTTTTTGATTTGATTTTAAACATTTAGCAATTTTCTTCTTCTTCTTTTCTTGTTTGCTTATAGAAAGCTGGCATAGATAATCTACCATGTAGTCACATTTATTCATTAAACTGTTAAAACCAATACAGTAAATAGTTATTTTGTACAACTAGTGAGCAAAGTGACGGCTCGTGAGTAAGTATTTCTCTGAGTGAGTCAATTGCACTTTGCACTCGAGTTGCACATTATATTTTTCCTACAGATACCATAAAACAAATAAATTGGTAAAGAAATGTAACATATTTTTCCTACAGTTACCTAACAATGTACATGTTCTCTCACTGATTTGAGAAAGCAAAGTGGCCAATTCGCTCATCAGTGAGACAATGTTAACATTGTCTCACTCTAATTACTTTGTCTCACTCCAGATTTGCAACGTGAAGGCACGGCGTAACATGCAGGCAACGTCGTATGCGCGCGAAATACGTTGGCAGCACTGGCTGTAAATCAGCTGGTCAGCTGTTGTACTGTTGCATGATTAAATGTCATATTAAAAGTACATTTCTGTGTAAATAGTTATTTGTGCAACTCGAGTTCAAAGTACAATTGCCTCACTCCAGAAACCATTCCTCACTCGCCTACGGCTCGTGAGTAAGGATTTCTCTCGAGTGAGTCAATTGCTCACTTTTCTCACTAGTTGCACAAATAACTATTTCCTACAGTTACCTAACAATGTACATGCTCTCTCTCACTGATTTGAGAAAGCAAAGTGGCCAATTCGATCATCAGTGAGACAATGTTAACATTGTCTCACTCAAATTACTTTGTCTCACTCCAGATTTGCAACGAGAATGCACGAAATAGTGAGCGCGAAACATGCAGACAAGGTCGTATGCGCGCGAAATACGTTGGCAGCACTGGCTGTAAATCAGCTGGTCAGCTGTTGTACTGTTGCATGATTAAATGTAATATTAAAAGTTAATTTCTGTGTAATAGTATATTACGTTACTAGTCCTGAAAATAAGTGTTTACCGGACGAGGGTGGTCGTTCCCGTGCGAGACGAAGTCGAGTACGGGATTACCATACGAGTCCGGTACACACATTTTGGACGAGTTACGTACGATAGTTTACGCCATACTACTTAATCCGTACAAATCCTTATATATTTCCACCAACTAAAGGACTAATAATCACTAGTCATAACCTCTGAGAGAGGTTATGTTTTTGTTTATAACCAATAATTGCCACGAAAATACAGTATAATCAGCTGATTGGTGTCCGGTAAAACTCATTGCAGAACAGTATTACGCAATGAAACCCCATTTGAATAAGCTGGTGGCAAACAGCTGTTTTCTGGACTAAATCCTTGCGTGGGAAGTTCGTCAAAATAATGTAGTGTGGCGTAAAAGTACATTGTTGTGCATGCTTAATAGCACGGCCGCCTTAAACCACAGGCCGTGGCCTGGTAGAATTGGCAACGTTGCGAATGGTGTTGTTTAGTGTCAGACGTCCCATAAGACAACATGGCAGACAGGTGACATCAGCTCATCAATTCGCACTTTATTGATTTAAATTTAAATTTATTCAAATAAATTTATTAAAATATTGAAAATAAAACGAACAGAATTGAAACCCGAAACAATATGAATGAAAAATTTATATCTACACATTATAAGTGGAGTCATTATTGTAACAATCCAGTAACCAATCTTTCGTAAATACACAAATACCATTAGCTGCTTCCAAACAAACCATAGCTGTTGCCGCTTCGAAGGCCGCGGCCTGGAGTTAAAGGCGGCCGTGCTTAACAGTAACAACTCAACTTTACATCAAGAGGAAATATATATGTGTGGGCGGCTGTTCAATAATTTAATAATCTAAATAAATAACAAGTAACAAAAATTGAGGGCAATAGAGTAACTAATAACAATAATTATTGTTATTGTTACTCTATTGCCCTCAATTTTTGTTGCTATGAAATAATATAGTTCATGCTACATGCTATGAAAATCATTAACTACATGCCAAAGTGCATTCTACTGTTATAGTGTGTAAATAATATACACTATATAAAATATATAGTGTGTAACAGTAATAAATATGCTCTTGGATAACAACATAGATAAAACAATCTTTTGTTTTATATACTGATACACTCTCTTTTATATACTCTTCTTTATACACTCTTCTCAACCGATGATTTCTTCGCCATCACCAATAACGTTGTAAGTAATCAATCATTCCACTCCACTGAGCTAAAATTATAACTGGAGGTAGCACTGCCATGGCAGAAGTCTGTCAAAAGCGTGTCGCTGATTTTGTTAGGTTGGTATAGCAGTGAGTTTTTTTATCCAATAACATGGCTTCTATAACTAGGTTGGTATAGCAGTGAGTTTTCTTATCCAATAACATGGCTTCTTATAACTCACACCTCACGCAAACATGGCGGCTGGCGACACGCATCTTTGACATTTAGTGTTACCTCCAGTTAGCTCAGTGTTCCACTCCACTAATGATCTAAAGGTTGCCGGTTCGATACTTAGGAAAGTCAGCAGTTTTTTAAGGTTCGAAACTGGACCCACCCAAACTTTCCAGAGCTATCCCTATCCCTGATCACTGGGCTATAAAATGATCCCGATAAAAGAAAAAAAGCTGACCATATAGTCAGTAGTAAGTAGTAAGTCTACACAGATAATTTTATCCCATTATACACTCACCTTGCTTTCATATTCGGCAAATTACGCACCTTGCTTCGCTAAGACGCTAACTTAATATTAAAGTAAAAATAATAATTTATGTGCATCGTTTCTCAGTGGTGAGGATTATGTTTCTTATTTCAATATCCCTTGGGTTTATATGTAAGTTTATTCTATTATTATATTATACTACTATAGTAGCTAGGTAATAAAACATTGATATGTTCTGGGCAACTACTAAACTGGCTTGAAAGCTACCTGTGCGATAGACAACTTGTAGTAAAATTTGATGGAGCCCTCTACCCTCCCTTTGCAGTACTATCAGGTATCCCCCAAGGTTCACACTTGGGCCCTTTACTCTTCAATGTATTTATTAATGATATTGCCGCCTTAATATCAATGAAATTCCTCATGTTTGCCGATGACATCAAGGTGTTTTCAAGAATCGGATCCATGGATGACTATATGTTGACCTCCAAAACTCAATTGATGGCATTGTTAACTGGTGTAAAAATAATGCAATGTCTCTTAATATTTCAAAGTGTCAAGTCATGTCATTTTGTCGTAGGACCACAACACCCATGGTTTTGACTACTATATTGAAGACTCAAAACTATCGCGAGGGTGAATAAGGTAAAGGACCTTGGGATCATCATTACACCAACCTTGAATCCAGCGGAGCATATTTCCAACATTATTAACATCATTAAGATGGGGACGCCACTGTAGTGCGTATTTTAATCCAAATATGAGTGAAGGATGAGTGTAGAATGGTGTGAGATGATCTGTGTAGCTTTGTTACTGACTAAGATCAGCTGTTTCATTAGCCAGGATCATTTATTTAAAGCCCAATGATCAGGAACAGCTGGGTCCAGTTTCGAACCATCAAAAATCTAAATGACTTTTATCATGATCGAACCGGCGACCTTTTGATTAGTAGGCAAGCACTATAACCACTCAGCTACCCAGCCAGTATCTCGCCTACACCGGCTAGGGAGCGAAGTTGGAGCTGATGTCGACTTTTTTGGCGTTTCAACTCACGTCTTCAGGTCGAAGATCAACCAGCTCCTTATCTAACTATTCTTGTTTTCCATCTAGTCACTAGTTACATAAACTTAAAGTTATTTATCTCCCTTTTGTTGCTGTTGTTCTGATGTTGTTTTGTATCCCTGTGTCATTAACTGTTTCTTGTTTCTCAATGTAGTCAGGCTTCATACATAATCAAGTGTCCTACAATTTAATTTTTTAATTTCTTCATTGTTTTGTTTGTCAATATCATCCATGTTTGTAACGTCAAGCACTATTATTACTTGATCTAGTCAAAATTGTTGATATTATTATTGTTAATACAGGGTGTTGAAAATGTCTGGAACCAACATTATATCTGGTGAGTGGTTAAAGAAAAACAACTGATATTTTGTGTACGGATATACTATGGTTTTACCTATCTTTTGGTGCCTTATGAATTTTTTTACCACTTAAAGGGAACGTCCTGTGGAGGATGCAGTAAAAAGTTTTAATGGAAGCCTATGGTAAATAATACATCGTTTTTAAGGCCATTTTTTTCTGAGTAAGGAGCCGCAAGTTTCATCTCAAAAGGACCACCCTAGCGAAAATGGCAACTGTTTGAAATTTAAAAACATTGCTATTTAAATGGACGTATTTGTTTCCTTTAAATGCTATTACAAGCCAGTTACGAAGTACAGTAGTTTATAACGTGATAAACTGAAAAATGACTGAAAAAAAAACATTTAACTAAATTGTTTGTGTTGTTTTACTAAACTTATTTTTAACAGAAATACCAATTAAGCTTTTAATTATTTTCAAAAAATTCAAACAGTCACCATTTTTGCTAGGGTGGACCTTTTGAGATGAAACTTGCGGCTCCTTAATCAGAACAAAATGGCCTTTAAAATGATGTATCATTTACCATAGGCTTTCATTAAACCTTTTTACTGCATCCTCCACAGGACGTTCCCTATAAGTGGGTTTTTAAATTTCAAACAGTCGCCATTTTTGCTAGGGTGGTCCTTTTGAGATGAAACTTGCGGCTCCTTACTCAGAAAAAAATGGCCTTTAAAATGATGTATCATTTACCATAGGCTTACATTAAAACTTTTTACTGCATCCTCCACAGGACGTTCCCTATAAGTGGTAAAAAATTTCATAAGGCACCAAAAGATAGGTAAAACCATAGTATATCCGTACACAAAATATCAGTTGTTTTTCTTTAACCACTCACCAGATATAATGTTGGTTCCAGACATTTTCAACACCCTGTATGTACAAATCTCTTTATGCTGTTGTTATTGTTATATTATTTGTTATTTATTGTATATTTATTATTAGAGTAGTTACTGTTGCTTAATATTTTGTGGACTATTAGACACAACATGTAACAAATCATGTATTTGTAAAATGGTGTAACCGTTGAGAGGAAATAAATAAATAAATATGTGTTTTATACGTAATGTGAAATATTTAGCACTTTTGACGTAGTTGTGAGGTTGGTACGGTTCGATGACAGCAGCAGGAAGTGTGTTAAAAATAATAATAATAGCACATCAGCAGCGCAGCGCAGCAGTAGCAGCACATCACTTCACTGCTCAGGAAATTTCCAAAAAAATATCCATCCCTACCCTAAGCCCTAAAACTGTCTCTAAACCCTAATCGATTTTGGGTTTCTTGTGCGCTGATAATCTGTGTCTGCGACTGCAGTTTCATTAAGGACTCCTAGGACTGGATCGATTTTGATTTGTTCCATAAAATATTCTATCACGGATAAGTTCTTCTAGTCGTGAGTATTAATTGAACGCTTATAATTCTTGAATAAGACGTCTGCTTGACATGGATGCTTTTGTGAGCAATGTCTTCTTGTAAAGACATTGAAAACCCCTGTTTATACCACGATGGTGTTTGTTATTCCAAAATGTAGGCTACAAATTGTAGACTAAAGAAGCCTAGATAGTCTATTAGCACAATTTTGCATTATGAATTCTTTATAGGAATTCCAAGTTGGCTAGGCTCATTATTTTATGAGCGTCACCTAAGTTATCACAGATCCATTTTAGTGATCTAGGCCTACTTACTCTGCTTAGGCCATTTATGACGAAAATTCAATTTAACTGTAGGCCTAACTAACTGCCTATAAAGCAGTCTAGGGCAATAGTAACTTACTTTTTAGTCAATAAATAGGTTTTAAATTACTAAACGCAGAGGATATGCGTCCAGTAACCGAACGTGGATTAGCTGTCCGGCAGTGGCGTCACCGGGTTGTACGAGGTTTGGAACACCATTAGTCCCTACCACAACGATACGATGTACAGCCATTGGTGTTTGTGGTGTGGTGGATAGAGTACTCGGCTGATTTACAAGAGGCATCTAGATCGAATCCCATCGGTGACACATGATCTGAGAACATTCGAGTGTCATGCCCTGGATGACTTGATATGGATTAACCCAAATGATCCTAGAAAATTTTGCGTTCCACTTAAGAGTTAGGCTAGATTAGCTTTAGGCCTGTTTAGTTGGTACCTAAATTAACACAGCAATTTGTGGAGGTTGCCCTATTCAGAGTTAAAAATCAGAATAAAAACCCCGATAAATGGTTGATGGGTCTGCCATTGCAGGGGTGAGAAGATGATGGTGGGGGATGAAGAGCCACGCCCTACTGATGAGTGGCCTCCTCCCACCGATACAAAGGACGCCAACTCTTCTAGGCTTCTCTTCCTCACTGTGAACCAGAACAACTTTCAGGTAAGTCAACACAAATTGGACTATAATCAATTCCTAACCAAGTTACGAAGATCTCCACTACAGTTATCCATTATCCCACCAAAGCAGTCTGCGGCAAGGTAATGTAAGTTAAAAAGGTAGGATAACATGGGCTAATAGGCTAATTCATAACCAATGTTTTATGTTGTTAATTATTTAATCACCCCAATTACTAAAGTTATGTTGGAAAAAACTTTACAAGGCTTTAAGATAATCACCAATAAGTACGTGTACTAAAAATGTTTGCGGCAGTGGCAGTGACCAGGATCCAAACCCACGACATCGCTGCCTTGGGCTCGAAGTCCGTGACGCTACCAAATGAGCCATCGACTTACCAAATACCGTACAGAAATAACTGTTCGAACTTATGAGGTCGGATAGCCAAAGATTCAATAATCAAGACAAGACTCAACAGTACTGTAGGCCTACGGTACATGAGATTACTATTAGTGAATTTTTAATAAGATACCTAGGCCTACGTAGTTTTTATATTTTCAAATAAAACTTCAAATCTTCAATCTTCTTAAAATATTGTACATTATAGGCCTAGAGCTTGAGGGTTAATGATGTTCTGACTGTCTTAGGTGCAATATGTGGAGGGGGAGCCGTCTGCTGGCTACAGCTCGGGTCTGGACAGTTTCTCAGAGCTGGAGCAGAGAGTGGTGAGCCCCCTAGACCCCAACATGGGCTGTACTGCGTGTTACTCTCCAGTGTACAGAGCCGGCTCTCCTCTCATGTCAGGTCAAGGTCAGTAACAGAATGCATTGTAATAGCCCCGAAGCTGTCACATTGACTTATAAGTTACTAGCAGAGTACCCGTCCTTCGTACAGGGTTGGCCTATATAATAATAAAATGCTTATTGCAGCTATACTCAAGCTTTGCGTTTGCAATGAGGAAGGACACAGTTTGATAAAATTTGCTTCTTACTCTTTGCTTCTTACTTCTTTGCTCTTTGAGTATTACACATCTACCGTAACCATAATGTTCTACCACTTCACCTAAACAATAGAGAAAAATAAATTATCAAAAATTCACAAAATATCACAAATTATTCATGAAAAATAAAAAAACATAAAACAATCTTACTTTAACAGTTAGTTCTCATTACGTATCACAGTTTTTTGTTGCTGCTTGGTTCAAAATAGCTGCTTTCATAAATGCAAAAAAATATTGCTGCACCCTGTTGGTAAATCTTATAACTTTTTAATGCTTTTGCATATCATAGAACCAACTTTTTTATTTGAGACAGCTGACTAAATTTTTTAATTCCCTTTAAATGTGAATACTCATAAGGTTAACATGGGAAACTACAGAGCCACTGGGGCGGAGCCCAAAAGGATTTTTGAGATATGAATATGCCTATATGTTAATCGGGAATGTGAGCTAACATCATGCCAAATTTCAGCCCAATACGTCTAGTAGTTAGTGTGTGATTGAACTTCAAACAAACAAACAAACACACAAACTTTCACATTTATAATATTAGTAAGATTACGAGGACTGTCCGTGAATCACATCTCCGCTGATATCCCCTTGTGACTGACTTAGCAAGGTAGTTCAAATCTGACACCAGCACCGTGATTGTTTCATTCACTAATTGTCTATCGTTTCTCCCACAACCGCAAAGCAAAACAATGGGCGACATTGTCGTATGAGGAAAAAGCCAACAGAAAGATTGTACCAGTGTTTAATTAACTGCAGCAGACACAAGGAATTGTCATTGCAGATTAAAGCGTCTATGAAGATAAGGCAATCGTAAATTACTATTTCACCGCAATCACGGGAGACTATGTAGCAAGCGTAACTTCCCTCACATGGTTTATTGTGACAAGACTAATGTTCCGTCGCATAAGGGTAGAATAGTAGTTTCTGGAAGTGAAGATTACTGTGCAAATGTCAGATCAGAAATAGCTCGCATGACTGCAAAGACTGGATCTTGTTAGAGATCTTAACATACAGACAACCCCTGTACAATATCTCACAGCATTTCTAATAGTAACAATCATGGTGTGACATTTGTAATTTTTAAAACCTTAGTTCAGGAAGAATGTTAAATATGTTTGAGTAGAATGGACAATGATTTACACTATACACAACATATACAACTAAAAACTATATACAGTTAACACAATAGGTCTATGACGGAAAACATTGCGGGATCAAGGAGTGGACATATTTATCAACAGTTTCCACTTGACTTTTTCTTTGCAGTTATTGATTTGTATTACTTGTATTTCCAATAGTTTTTATATCATTTTGAAAAAATCTCCTTATGTAAAAGCATAGACAACTAGATTTAAATATAGACCGACAGCAGTGCTATGGTTAGCATAAGTTCTGGCGTCCACCGGTGAGAGCACTGTGTAGTTGTGGCGCACGAGATAAGTAACTATACGGCACTCCCAGCAGTGGACGCCAGAACTTAAGGGTCAATGTCGCATAATGATGAATTTTCAGGAAAGTAAAAAAAAAATTTTTTACTTTTGAAATCGATATACTACTAGCCTATTACAATCAGTATTTACCAAGGAATAATGTATACTAATCAGCAGAGCTGAATTTTACTTACTTTAATTTATAACTCTATTTTTAGCTTGAAGGTCACACAAAAAATGCCAGTCGGTCACGCTGATGAATTTGCAAAAATAAAGTAGTAAAAATTATATTAAATTAAAAATTTCATCATAAATGTTATAGGGGAGAGTGTTGTACCTTTGGACGGTTGTACCTTTGGACAGTAGGGAAATTTTAATTAAGATAAGGGAAATTTAATTTTTTTACCCTCCAACATGAAGTGGCACTCCTGAAACCTACCTCAGTGGAGGGAAAGACACCTGCAGAGTTGCATGTTGTTGCCATGTGAAGAAGATTGATTTTCAACTCAAAAAGTAAGTTATGGATTATATATTTCTCGATTTTTCATAAATTTCATTAAGTATAATTTAGAATATAAAGATTTCAGCTAAGGTAACTGAAATCTTCTCTTTCAAATGGCATAATTCTTTATTACTTTTCATAACCTCAAAATTGCTTTTTATCAAGTTACAAGTTAACAGTACACTTGTTGTACCTTTGGACAGACATGGTGTTGTACCTCTGGACAGTGTCTAAAGGTACAACACATTTTATAGACTGTAATCTAATGTAAACAAAACTTATAATTTATACAAATTTAAGGATTTTCATTGAAATAAAGCTTGATTTTTATAATTAATTAATTAATTAGGCCTGTAGTACAAATTATTAATAATTAATTATCTTCTTTTTTAGTGCCGAGAAGCAAGTCTGGAGTGACCCGTAAGAAAATTTCTAAAGAAATTTTAGAAGAAGCCGTCAAAGCAGTGTTGGACGGGAAATCTTTGAGAAAAACTGCAAATGAATTTTCCATAAATAAATCTACTTTGTGGAATTATGTAAAAACACAAGGAAAATCAGGTAACGAATCAGTAGATATTAAATTAGGAAAAAATGATACAAAAAAGGTGTTTACTGAAAAGCAAGAAACGGAGCTGGTTGAGTATTTAGAAACTGCTGCTCGCCTTCATTATGGATTAACTAAAAGAGAAACAAGAGTACTTGCTTTTGAATATGCTTCTATAAACAAAATAAAATGTCCAGAACAATGGGGAGTTGAAAAAATTGCGGGGAAAGAGTGGATGCGTGCTTTTTTAAAAAGGTGGACAAAATTGTCGCTCCGGAAACCTGAAGCCACCAGTTTAGCTAGAGCAACAAGTTTCAATGCTGCAAATGTAAAAACATTTTTTGATAACTACAAAACTGTCCTTAGTAGATACAAGTTTAAAGAACATCAGATCTTCAATCTCGATGAAACTGGCAATTCAACTGTTCACAATCCCCCTAAAATAATAGCACCTAAAGGAGTGAAACAAATTGGCAGCATGACTTCGGGGGAAAGGGGGGCAAATGTTACTATGATTGGTTGCATCAATGCGGCCGGAAACCATGTTCCTCCCATGTACATTTTTCCGAGGGTGAATTTTAAACAGCACATGATCAATGGTGCTCCTCCAGGATCAATTGGTGGAGCACATATAACAGGGTGGTCCACAGAAGAAATTTTTGTTCAATACTTGGATCACTTTATTAAATTTGTAAAACCAACAAAAGATGATCCTGTTCTCATGATTCTTGATAATCATGAGTCCCATATATCGATTGAAGCGATAAATAAAGCTAGGGCCTCTGGAATTGTCATGCTTACCTTCCCACCCCACACGTCACACAAACTACAGCCACTTGATAGAACAGTGTTTGGTCCCTATAAGAAGTTCTACAACGTCGCTGCCTCTGAGTGGATGTTATCAAATCCTGGAAAACCCATGACAATTTACGAAGTAGCCAAAATCTCTGGTACTGCTTATCTACAAGCATTTACTGCAAGAAATATTATCAGTGGCTTTTCTGTTACCGGAATTCACCCCTTAAATGAAAACATATTTAAGCCTGAAGAGTTTTTGCCTTCCAACGTCACGGACAGACCAGTCATTGAAACCAGTGAAAATGGAAATGAAAGCAATGCGCTGACTACATCTAGTCCATTAATCAACCATGACTCAATGCCATCAACTTCCCATGTAGGAAATGAGGCAACAACATCAAGTGCTTTTGTATGTCATGAGCCAACACAATCTACCATATCACCACATCTTATTAGACCATTTCCCAAGGCCTTACCTCGGAAGAAGAAACCCGGTAAAAAGAAAGGGAAATCGGCTGTGATGACTGATACGCCTCAAAAAATGCTGATTGAAGCACAGAGTGCCCTGAAAAAACTCAAGGCTGAAAAGAAGGAAAAAAAGAAACCTGCAAATAAGAAGTTGGATTTTAAAATCACGGAACATCCTGATAGTGTTTTGACTGAGAGATTTGACGAATCAAATTTATCCCCCAAAAAACCGGCACTTAAGAAAAAGAAAAAAACTCGTCAAGTGATTATTTCCTCTAGCTCCGAAGATGAGGATTTCGCAGTTCTTGAAGATTCATCAGATGATTCAATTTCAAAGTTGAAAGAAGCAATTGAAATGGACGAAAAGGAAGAAGCGGAAGAGAAGTCACTATTAGAAAATGAAGAGGTTAAAGTAGGGGACTTTGTTCTCGTTAGAATGATGGGGAAGAAAACTGTCATGTATTACGTTGCTGAAATTGTAAAGACTATTTCAAAGACTGAGTTTGAAGTAAAGTATTTAAAAAGATTGGGTGAAACTAACAAATTCTTTAGGGATAAAGAGGACATTTATAACATTTTTGAAAGTGAAATTGAGCGCAAACTACCACAGCCCCTTTCCACTGGTAGTTCAGAAAGGCAGGTTTCCCAGCTGACTTTCAGTATAGATTTTATGTCACTTCCTGTCAAATAAATTCTTGAATTAGAAGGGAGTAAAACTTGTAAATTAGGCTAAGTCATTGCCTATCACATTTTTTTGCCAGATGAGAAGTTATTTCAACCTTATTAATAAAACTATAGGCCAATTTATTGTATACAACTACTATATTTAAGCTTACATTCTTTTTGTATCAATAAAATACTTTTTAATAATTTAACAATTCATTTTTGTTATCCCAAACATTATGTCCAAAGGTACAACATCATTGTCCAAAGGTACACGAAGGTGTTGTACCTTAAGACATTCTTCCGTATTTTGTTTTTTGTGAAATAAAAAAGTACTTTAAAAAGTTTTAAAAAGTTTAAAATATGTATTTTGTAGCTGAATAGTTGCTTAATCTCCTGCATTTATCAGCATTTCAATATCTTGAACCATGGCTAAATGAAAAATATTTAAGTGAAATTTGTCCAAAGGTACAACACCCTCCCCTACCCTTCAAAATTCAAATAAACGAAACCAAAATATTTAATTTCGTTCAATTTGAGGAAATTTTAACAATTTGAGCTAACCTAAAATGAATTGGCTCTACTTTGCAGACGAAACTTCAGTATGAATGACAAATATTTTAACAGTAAATTGCAGTAAATTGTTGTTTGTACTGAAATATGATTGCCGGGATGGCATGTATCAGAAAACACATAAACATCATAATATAGGATAAGCAGTTAGTGAAATATAGGCCCTATGTGTTTTGGTAAGCGTGAACTACTGGCGTTGACCGTGAACTACTGGCGCTGACCGTGAACTACTGGCATTTATGGCATTGAACAACATATAACTGGAGTAAGTTACTGAAAAACACATAGACTAATGGATATAATTAGAAGAAATGTAAACCAAAATGTAATGTTTCAACAGTATTTTAATGAAATCTTTTTTTTATGAAATTACAAACATAGCCTAACATTCTTTGGTCGTTTGTGAAAGATTCATTTTGTTTCGAATTTGATGTTATAATGAAGGAACAACTACCATAAAATATTATACCCTAAACCTTATAGTTGTAAAAGAGCAACGACATTTAAAGTACAGCCAGTATTGCGCCAATCGTTCACGATATTCAACATCGTGGAACAACTGGAGCGTGAACGACTGGCAAATCTGACCTAAAATCTAGTCTATGAAAAGCTACATTTACTGCGTTGACATCCAATTTGAGGTTAGGTTCTAGGCCTAGAGACATTGTCAGAATCCTTTTTATTGTAAGTTGCAAAGTTTGTGAGTTATTAAAGTGAACGACTTGAATCTTAATTAAGGTACTATGCATTTCTTATCTGTTTATCAGTTCATTTGTAAAAATCTTCTTAAAATTCACAAAATTGTTCAGCTGTGGCTACTGCGCAAACTCATCATCACAAGCACTAGAATGAGTTTTGCCGCCTAATTACGCATCGCCCCGTTACGTCTAGAACCCATTTCGTCGAAACGTCTTTGACATGCTGTACCTTAGGGACTGCCTTTAGACAATTAAAAAAATGTCCCTATCGTATTTAGCATTTTAATACTGCTTGTTATTGATAGCAGACGATCTCCCAATGTTTATAGTTCCATTATATTGCAAAATTGTGAGGTTATGAAGTATTTATTATTTGAGTGAACATTACGGCATTAAGCTGGGGACTGTGAACGACTGGCAAATTATGATAAACAGTCCTATTTTTCTTATTGAATAAATTATTATTAGGATCTAAAACTATGTTTGCTGGAAAGGTAAGGGGTTGGATAATAATAACAACACATTATTACTTAAAATAGTATTTTTATTTTGCATTTGTGCCCAAAGGACTTCAAAATCACCCATTATGTGACATTGACCAAAAGCTAACCTCAGCACCGTTGTTGGTCTATATTTAATTCTATTACCAATGGTAAAAGGGAACCCAGTACGTTATTTGTTTTCAGGCTACCTACCAGTGACTTCACCCCCTCCGGCGGAAGAGGGAGGAGTGATAGTGCTGAGTGAGGGGATGGAGGGGCACCTGAGTGGGGCTGCAGCGGGACCGGCTGTAGCAGACGACAGCAAACTGTTGCTACTGGCTGCAGACTCATCCCAGCCTACAGAGGTTAGAAATATACTACACCAAATAGAATATAATTTAATGTCAGTAAACGCTGGTATGTGATATGCAAAAATCCAGTGACGATTAGGCCAGCCTCACACTGGTCAGACAAAACGTTTTTTGAGAAAATGTTTTGTCGGAAGACGTCTTGTCGGAAAGCATAAATGTCGCATTGGTGTGTAGTGGTCTCAGACAAAAGACAAAAAATGGAGGGAAAACTAATTCAGTCACCCGTAGACCAGTGTTGTGAAAAGCCAGAGAATTTATAAAAATTGAAATTGGTGGACGGTGTGATTTCAGCTGGTTGTACCATCAGAGGGTTGCTGTGACCAGAGACTGGAACTTCTGTTGAGCAATGGAGCAATTGCTTACGGCATTGTTGAATCAACTGACGCCAACGGAACTGGAAGGTTTATTCAGGTAAGTCGTGTTGTGTTGTTGTAAGTAACGTCTGGAATTCTATATAACGTTTAAAGATGAAAACTATTTTGTCTATGTCTCTTTAGCGATTCATAGGGGACTAAAGAGCTATTGGGAGATACCTTTCTGGGAACATTCTTCAATTCTGGTTTAAAGACCACTGTTAGTTTTACACTTTCTTTACATAGCTTGTGAAAGTTGACTACCTGTCTGTTGCCACGATCGCGGGAAACGATTATCGGTTTTTCAAAACCGCAAAATATTCTAATGGGTATTGCCACAATCGCGAGGGATGATTATTGGTGTTGCCGAAACCACAAAATATGCTCACGGGTGTTGCCGCTATCGCGGATACGATTATCGGTGTTGCTGAAACCACAAAATATGCTCACGGGTGTTGCCGCGGTCACAGGAAACGATTTTTAGTGTCGCCAAAACCGCAAATTATGATCACGGGAGTTGCCGCGATCGCGAGAGATGATTACTGGTGTCGCCTTACCTACCAGTAGGGCCTAATACTTTTAATATGTTGTATAAGCTATTATCCTTTGTAAAAGTTATAGTGCTTACAAGTTATTGAAAAAATAAATAATACAATTTCTAACCTACTATTTCTTAAAAACATTTTTTATATACATATACATTAGTTAATTTCATTATGTGATAAAAATTATGATTTCTTTAAAAAATCTTTTATAAGTTTTACTTAATATAAAACAACATGATAAAGCTTGAAGTAGGGTTCCGATAGTAGTTCTTAAAATTCTTCAATTTGTTTTGAATTCTCCTGGAAAACTTAACGAATTTTTCAAACCAGATTTAGTAGACACTATGTAGTTGCAACGAGCTAGTTGCAACAGTAAAGCCCCGTGTACTCGTAGCTAGTTTAGAGCAGCTAATATTCGCTATAAGCACTAATTGGGCACACTAGCACAAAAGTTTCCATCTACACGTGGCTAGTTATTAAATTAAATTAGCGCTATTCATGTAGAAGTGAAGTGTTCATTGGTCGCAGTTGTTATTTCAGCTTGCACAAAATGTCTTCGGTTCCTTTAAATCAAAATATTTTGAGACAATTGGTATACAAGAGTTACACGTGTGAACATGAACTTAATAAAAAGAGACAAACTTTACCTTAAACTAGTTTTATATGTAAAAAATATTTGAAAGTACCATCTAATACCCTAATGGCAAGGCCTTAATTTACACCTCTTCCTTCTTGTTCTATGTAGAAATTTTGCACCACAGCTATAGACTAGATGTGATTCAACCTGTTCAAAGCAGCAGTTTAACTGGGTTTTTCATTATGTGTTATAAAGTATTTGGTTTCTGATCGCAATCGTCATAAGTACTAAAATAATAAAAAAATATTCCTACCTAATTAAAATCAATAAGGGAGGGTCACTATAGTTGGATGTAGTTTTTAAATTCACAAATAATATGCATGTTATTTCAGATACCAAGAGAATATTTGGTGGCTGCCAGAGCTCAAAACAGCGAACTCCCTATCGAAGACAATGGCCAAAGTGAAAACCTGCAGGAAGAAAATGCACAGGATGATAATGGGCATTTGCGAACTTTGTACAACACACTGAGAGAGCAAGGTATGGTTCAGATCCAATATTAGGGAGAATTGAATTAAGCTTGGACTTAAGTAAATCAAAAGTTAACCAGAGAAATACTTATAAATTTGAGTTATGATAGAATGGTGCCGTTCGAACATATTGCACCAGTCTTACAGGTAAAAATTCAACATTTTGTAGCCTAGTTTAAAACAATTTTAGTTTGTGCTGGATTTGTAGAGGAACGCGGCGGAACGGAGTTCCGGTACTTCTTTTTCAGAAAGATTAAAATATTGACATAAATTGGTACAAATCACATCAAATAGGTTACAGTTACGGAACTTCATTTTTTACAAATTGAACACTGATTTTACTAAAATAACAATGTTTGAATTCCTTTACAAAGTAAGTATTTTCACCATCTTTTGAACTGATTCGTATTTGATTGGTTTGAACAGTTTTTTGGTACAATAGCTGGTCTCAAATAAAATTAATAGGATCAAAATCTTTAAATACATCTCTTCAGTTTAATGTTGAAACAGTTTCAATATAAAATCTTAAAATGGATTGCTATAAATCCATTTTTATCATGTTGTAGTGTTTTTAAGCTTGTTACCCTTCAATATTAAGAAAGAAAATAAACGGTCAGCAATCTGACACACACTTTCTCCCATTATTTCCTCAACCGTTATTATGGGTAAGCGGTGGGAGTTTACCTATGATATTTTACCGGTATATAATTTTTTAACCATAATTTTTACAGCAATGGGAGCTATACCATTTTGTTCAGAATTTAAAGGCCTATAACATTATAAATTTTATCAAAATTGTTCGGGCCATTTTTTAGAAAAGAATTATGGTTTTATAGAAAAATCACCATTAAATATCAAAATTTCAAAAAGTAAAAAAAACACCTGGAGATACCATGGATTAGTACACATACCAAATTTCATTAACCCTAGAAGTGGCCAATGATCTTTATACGATTGTTGGTCGTCATGACAAAATGGCCTCCTTTTCGGACATACCTTCACATAAACTTTTAACTTTTTTCTTCCTTTTAGCATGAGGATTCATTTCCCAAAGTCCTGAAACGTTTTTTTTTTGGACACCCTGTATAAATATGGCCTGTGGATACATTCATTGAATGGGTAGCCAGAATCTGTGCAATTTCTTTGAGATTAAAAATGTATCCATACAATGCAAAGATAAGTTTTGTCCTCATTAAAAGCATAAATGTATAAAAAGGGCCAGATTAATATACTTTCTAATTTAAAAAAAATCTGCCTGTCCTAGACCAAGTATCCTGCCCGTCCATGAAGAGTTGAATCCATTATATTTGTTGCCAAGCTAGAACAGCTGGAATGATTCACTCTATAGTTACTGTCACTGATTCTTCTGATATTCTGTGTTCAGGTCTCATAATTGAGCTGAGGCTGCAGGATCAGAATCAGCAGCTGATAGATCAGTCACTGTCTCTACCAGTGCTGCAGAACTTCTCTGAAACACAGTCTAACTATCAGCCGTCTGCTGAGGACCCGCCTCAAGAACCCATTGAGAGACGATACTGTGAGTGACCTCCCTAGAAGTAGGCACCCCATCCACATGTTAAAATTGTCACAATAAAAAAAAATTAACATACAGTAGAACTCCAATTATCCGAACTCCGATTAACCGAATCTCCAATTATCCGAATCGCTTATTTCAACAATTTTAAAAACGTAAAGGTACAGTAATAAGTTTTGCAAAATATCAAAGAATTAAACACATTTAGCCAATTTTGGACTTTGATGGAACACTATTGACTTAATAACATGTAGCCTATAGAACACTTGTACTATGAACATTGTAAACTGTAAACATGTTCTGATTTAAATTATTATTAATTAAAAGTTCACTTAGTACCGAAAATGAGGATTTTTCTTTAAAATTCCTGGAATTCCGGTAAAACTCCGATTATACGAATTTTTGATTATCCGAATGGGGTCTGGTCCCTATTGATTCGGATAATCAGAGTTCTACTGTAGTTTAATTTTGATTTTCATAAAAATATAAGTTTGTTGTGAAGAGCGATATCTTTTTTCAAATCTTCTTTAGTTGGAAATGCGAACAATGACACTTAAATTTCCAAATGTTTGTGTTTCTAGTGGTACATACTATCCATACAATAACCCTTAAGACCTAGGCTCTTGGCTATGTTACACCCTTACCTTGGCAGGTCAATTCATATTATTTTAATTTGTCATGTTATTTTTTGGCAGGGTGCGAGGAATGCAATGTTCTAATGGACTCGGATTGTGCTGAACATCAAATAAACAGGAAGATAAGTGACAAAGCTGTGCCTTCTAGAGCGAGAGCTACTCTGCCTGCGTCCTATCTGGCCATCAACAGGGTGTCAGACGAAGTAGAAGGTGAGTAGACATTGGAGTTATGTCTCCCTTCAAGTTTCCTTAATGGGCATTTTAGTACAGTAGTTTTTTACATCCTACCTTGACATTCTTGGACACTAGGCTCTGGCCTAGAACTGTTTTACTTCAGGCTAGTTCTAAAGGTTTGTAACATTATCACATACCTTGTTAAAAATAATTGTTTATAATTGGATTTGAACCTAGAACCTCAGCAACTGAGTCCTTTTGTTCTACTTTTGATCTGTTTGCTCCGTGAGATTCTCGGTAGTAATGATGGTGAAATCCAGAAATCCAAAATTTTCAAAACAAGCAATATAGAATCTACTGTGGTAGGTAGTCCATTCTCAACATTATTAACTTGATATTATCCTAAAACTTAAAATTCACCAAGCAAAAATTAATCAAGCAACATTGTGGTAGTGTTCTATCTTCCATCTCCTGCTATCGCAATATTTTAGTATCCGTGACCTAAAAAAAATCTCTAAATTATTTAAATCCTGCCTGAGTACATAAAATAGTCTTAAAAAACCCAAAGTGGTTGCTGTTTGAACATTTCTATTCAGAAATATGTTAACCTCCTTGACAATCTCATGGGTTGTTGCTGGCAAACAGTGAATATAACAATATTTGTTAATCAATTCTTGAGTCCAGCCAATGAAATTGTGGATTCAAATTCCAAATTGAGATTTGTTATTTTCAGTCAACCTGTCACTCAAACAAGCGACTTGTAGTTATACTTGAAGTTTATTGAGTTCAATTGTGCTTGTAGAATACGGTGTGTTTGCACGGAAGACTATACCAAAGCGCACTCAGTTCGGCCCCATAGAGGGAGTGTTAGCCAAGTCAGGGGAGGTGGTGGTGTTGCAAGAGGCTCCGACTCTCAAACTCACCATAGAGTCTGACTCCGGCGAGTTCCGCATTTTGGACGTCTCCAACGAACGTAAGTTTGGTCAATTATTGTTGTAAAAGTAACTGAGCGAATATCTGTGCTTTTAGTGTGTATGTGTTGGATGAATCTCGATTTGATGTGTCTTGATGAATTTTGGGTGGGCTTTTTGTCCCTGGGCAGCAGCCACCTGTGGGCTTTTTGGACTGCCTGTTTAGTGCCTCAGAGTATGTCTAACTTTAGTCTCTGATGAAACTGTCTATGAGCTCTTCCTAAGGCAGGTGTTTGACCCTCACCAAAGGTCCAAGAATGCTGTTCTTTGCCTAATTCAGAGTTGAAATTAAATTAAATAAAAATTCTTTATTTTACCCGGCAAAGTTAGGGCCACATGGCCTTCTTACACTTAACCTGACAAACGTAAATATAAAGAAATAAAAATGCAATGTAATGATATTTCTTAATCTTATATAAATCTACATATTTAACAAATCAAGAACATAAGAAACAAAAATGCAATTTAACAAAATAATAATTACTGTAAAAAGAAATAACAAAAAAAAACACGTTCACGTTCACACTCTCACACGCACACACACCAGCAATCGCGCAAAGACACAGAAGCCCTAGGACACACCAGGCGAGACCATTTGCTCAATGTAGAGATTTTTTTGTGCCGCCACAAACTGGGGACGTTTTTCAAGGGACTTATTGTGTAGGGGTTGGCCGTTCCAAAGACGGCAGGCGTTAACAACAAAAGCCCTGTCACAAGCGGTGGTTTAATGATGAGGTATATGCTATGTGATCGAAGAAGAACGAGAAATTCGTGAACTACCCTGAGACACAAATTTAAAATCGGGTGTAAAATATTTTGGGGAGCCTGATTTCAAAATTTAAAAAACCAAAGTCAATACCGGCAATAGTTTCTCGCACTGAACTAGCCTACTATATAATTAAATTATAATTAATTGTTTACTTCTATGGCCGGAAAACTATACATTCAAGTTAAATCCTGTCGAAGATAAATCACCCTTGACGACGTGACCGGGCTGGACCATCCAGCTGCCGATCCTACTGAAGCCGAACTAGAGGGGGTCTACTCTACCATGTTAAATTTTCCAAAACTTAAAATTAACCCGTACAGCCTCTTTTGTCTTTTCACTCTTTTTTTTAGAACTATTTGTTAATCTATATACTAAATTTCAATTCCCGTCCAAAAGCTGTTAACAAATAAAAAATTGATTTTCAGATAAACAGAATGGTAGCTGTACAGGTAAATTTTGAGTTTTGGGAATTTCCAACATGCTATTTTAGTTTGTCTTTGGTCCAGGCAAATACCTTGAAAAGTCAGTAGAGTTCTGAGACACCCTGTATGTACTCCAGCCCTGATTTGTGTTCAATTGACCATGTTAATACCTTGTAATGTCACAGATATGTCCAACTGGATGAGGTTTGTGAGGAGAGCTACCACAGATAGACCTCCCAATCTGCTGTTGTCTCAGCTAGGCAACTCTCTCTACTTCACCACAACGCAGATGATACATCAGAAGGAGGAGTTACTAGTGTGGTACAGTCCGTCATATGCTGTCAGACGTGGTCTGCCCGCCAACCCCCCACCGATTGGTAGGTTAATAATGTGTCTGTCTTCAAACTGTTCATAACAGATCTCAAGTATGGCAATGTGGTGTTGGGAGCAACTTCTAACACTAACCTTTAGAGAACTCTCACATACATTGCAAAGTAAATTGGTCTATAATTTATATAAATTTAACAAAGAATTTCTAGGATGTTTTGTTTATTTAGCATGTGCTTGCAAACATTTGAAACAAATTTTAAATTTGTGTTTTTGTAATTTTTTCCCTAGTTTGATAAAAGTATTTGATCAGGTTACACAACACAACTTGGTTTAAGTAAGGTTATTTGGTACGACTGTATGTAAAAGAAAATCACAATTTCTCCTATTTATATGATATTCATATTATTTATATTGCTTTTTTAGAGTGGCCATGTTCTACCTGTGGGGTGAAGCTGAAAACAGCTGAAGAACTGGCAAAACATTCAAACTGTCACAAAGCTACAGCTGTGGTAAGTGTGGTTACAACTCTGACGCCAAACGTAGACTGGCAAAGCTTTTAGAAATAACATGCACAAAAAAATGTCTAATAGCCCAAGGAGTCAAGGGGGTGTACTTACTAATAGATAATCATGTTTTGGCTAATTTATTGTTTTTGTGTTTCCATGGATTGCTGTTGGGGTAGCAGTTTAAGGTGAATGTGAAAGGATCCATCCTGGATCTAGAAACACAAACACAATATACTATAGTCACAATAGTAACACAACACACAATTATCTGAATATTTTATTGTCATTTTCCACTGACAGTTGTAAAGAAAAAAGAGTTCTTTACTTATATTCAAAATATACTCTTAACTTAACTGATCATTCCATCAATCAAAATCACCTCACACCTTTATGTAATGCAATTTGGCTATTCCATACAGGTGTGAGTATAACAAAAAGTTGCCCCCTGGTGGGGGTTTAATGAATTTAATTTACACTTTTAATTGAACTACTGAGGACATTACAATCACAGAGCTGCGCAGTGGAAATAAAGATGTTAAGTGTGGGCCCTGTAATTAAATATCCCAGAAGTCCGATTTATGGACCGTGAGAGGTCTGATATGTGTCCTCCTTCACACCTTCTTCAGCTTATTTCTAACACTTCTTAAAACTAATAGATGTGTTTATTTGAACACTCTATGAATTGAAATGTCTGTTCAGATGAAAGATTGTGATATGAATTGATACTCTGTAAAACTGTAAAATTGCAAATAATAATATTGAAATATTGATTGAAAATATTTGTGAAACTGTTTGTTCAGGAAATATTTATCAAAAGTATGACTTCAAGATGTTATATATATACTGGATTCGGTTAAGCCGATTACTCATGAATTCACCAACTTGATATTAAATATTATGAACTGAACCCATAAAAATTGTACTGTCAAAATATATTTATAGAATGTAAACATCAATATTCTTTGTGTATACTTTGTATACTTCTTACAGTTAAGCCATTTACCTCTTTACTTTTCCAGTTTTAATATTAATAATATAAGCTAAAACACAGGATAATGATAAGATGGATTTTTGTAAAAACACTGTATAATGAATCAGAATTGAGCTGTGATACAAATTAAACATAAATAATGCAGTTACATTTTGTGCACAATAATTAACGGTTTGAGAGAGAGTGAGAGAGTTGATTGTAAGCCTTGGTGGTTTGCCACATTTTGAAACTACAAAGTCTCGGGATGACCTAGCCTTGATAATTTTATTTATTTGTTTTGGATCACCAGACTCCCCAAAGATGTTCGTAATTATCAAACTGGCCAGTTTACAATTTAATCAAACAGGGACTATTATGTAGGTTTGTGATATACATCACTCCTTGCTGATCAGTGCAACGGGGCCAATCGACTGCTGAGTCGATTATTTGATAATTTTTATTTAATATTTAATATTTATGAATTTAATGGGAGTCTATCCTCATGACCCTTTATCAGCCCTAGCCTTCGACCGAGCACTCTGTTACCCCCATTTACGTTACACAATCAAACTCTCACTATTTAAAAATGTAACACTCTATTCAAAATTATTCTACACATGAAATACAAACGTTTTAAATAATAATACTGATGATGATAGAATCTGACTGTACATAGAATACAAAAATAATAATATCACAGATAAACATTGCTCTTTAAATTAATATACCATTTCAATTCAATTTAATAAATAATTTTCATTTGACTAGGTTCACTATTATAACTTAAATTCTTTGTATGACATGACCAAATTTAATAAAACATTTTATCCTGAATCGTGACCATGTGCTCTAAGTAGACCAAATGAAACATGAAAATCTCAGACCAAACAAAACATGATTCATAACTTGTAAAACGAGTGGTACATGTGAAAAAAATGTGGCAGATTGGCAAGACTATTTTAATACTAAAACACAAATAACACAAACATTTACTTACGTACACATGTCGACACATTAACATTCATTCCGACGAAGATTCACGCGTACCGAATATTTAAAAACTGACTCGTGGTTTTGTGACTTTTTGTCTGACCGAGCGGAACATCACGACACGGTTTTTTCTGGTGTAGGACTTATTAATTCTTGTTTTTTCGAGCTGGCGTTTAATGATTCAATTGAAAATACCGTCACGACGATCCGCGATTCGCTAGAAATTGACATTTGCTATCGATATGATGCATGTACGAATTTTCATCACGAACGCGAACAATCAATCCGGCATCTCAACTGTCTCGACTTAATACTAATAAAACACACCCCCAAATGCAATTCGGCGAAATTTTGACAATTGCGATCGTTTGATGCACGTACAATTTCCGCCCGAACGCTAATTTCCGAGCTACGAATTAAGATATTAATAAATTCGTCCTACACCAGCGGCAAAACGCGACTTCACATGTTGACTACGCGATTACTGAGCCACGAGTGACGACGAGACGTTTGGTTTGCACGCGACACGGTTCGAGTGTAGTATTCCTCCGCGTTACGTCATGTTGGACTGACTTGTCCATTGCCTGGCGCGGATTTTAAATCTTTGAATTTAAAAATCGGCACAGAAATCTCCCCTGCCAAAAAAAATTGGCCCGAGCGACCTTCAGGTCCGCACGAAGGCCTTTTCCATCCCGGGACAATTTCGACCCGGCGCGACGACGCTTGACGTGGCAACAGACGCTTCATTCATACGACACATTTTTTTGTTGATTTTTTTTTTCCATTGATTTACATTTAATACATTTAACACGAAACAATTTTACACATAAACATTTGAAATTTGAATAACAAAAATAGAAAATCTGAAACTTTAACAATAATAAACATTTTGCTTTGAGGTCGGTACTGAGAAATTAAAAATTGTTGTCAACTAACACCTTGTGTCATAAACCAAAACTGCATCAATCCATCAACAATTTGAATGGTGTAAACGCGCACGCTTAACACACTGTAGAATTATCTAGCATTCAGCGTTGAGTAGATGTCAACAATCAGTTCATTGACCCGTAGCGCAGTCGACAGTCAGCTGTTGCCGATGGAGTGGGCGGGGGCGGGGGACATTGTTGTGGTGAACGGCCCGATGTCTGCCTGTCTGTGCGGGTAGGTTCTACTCTCGCCCCACCACAGCTGGAACGTGACCTCTGTTGGCCAGCCTTCATGTCGCTCACAGTGGTTACATAACATGACTCAGATGATTCATTGTTTCTCAAAATATGTAATTATGAAAATGTTTAAAACAATTGACCTCAGTTTTGACTCTATTTACTCAAAATTGAAAACTATTGCACATGTAAATATAAATGTAAATATAAATATAAATAATCTCTGTACGAATATGACACAAATAAATAAACAAGTAAACGAACACAGAAATATCAATGTGGATAATTGCCTTAGAGATAACAACTGATACCCTTATCAATGCCAACCTGCCTGGTAGTAATGCCAATCTGCTTCCTTGTTACCAGACCTCTCAATATTAGTGCTATCACTTTTTGTAAAGAAAAAAGAGTTCTTTACTTATATTCAAAATATACTCTTAACTTAACTGATCATTCCATCAATCAAAATCACCTCACACCTTTATGTAATGCAATTTGGCTATTCCATACAGGTGTGAGTATAACAAAAAGTTGCCCCCTGGTGGGGGTTTAATGAATTTAATTTACACTTTTAATTGAACTACTGAGGACATTACAATCACAGAGCTGCGCAGTGGAAATAAAGATGTTAAGTGTGGGCCCTGTAATTAAATATCCCAGAAGTCCGATTTATGGACCGTGAGAGGTCTGATATGTGTCCTCCTTCACACCTTCTTCAGCTTATTTCTAACACTTCTTAAAACTAATAGATGTGTTTATTTGAACACTCTATGAATTGAAATGTCTGTTCAGATGAAAGATTGTGATATGAATTGATACTCTGTAAAACTGTAAAATTGCAAATAATAATATTGAAATATTGATTGAAAATATTTGTGAAACTGTTTGTTCAGGAAATATTTATCAAAAGTATGACTTCAAGATGTTATATATATACTGGATTCGGTTAAGCCGATTACTCATGAATTCACCAACTTGATATTAAATATTATGAACTGAACCCATAAAAATTGTACTGTCAAAATATATTTATAGAATGTAAACATCAATATTCTTTGTGTATACTTTGTATACTTCTTACAGTTAAGCCATTTACCTCTTTACTTTTCCAGTTTTAATATTAATAATATAAGCTAAAACACAGGATAATGATAAGATGGATTTTTGTAAAAACACTGTATAATGAATCAGAATTGAGCTGTGATACAAATTAAACATAAATAATGCAGTTACATTTTGTGCACAATAATTAACGGTTTGAGAGAGAGTGAGAGAGTTGATTGTAAGCCTTGGTGGTTTGCCACATTTTGAAACTACAAAGTCTCGGGATGACCTAGCCTTGATAATTTTATTTATTTGTTTTGGATCACCAGACTCCCCAAAGATGTTCGTAATTATCAAACTGGCCAGTTTACAATTTAATCAAACAGGGACTATTATGTAGGTTTGTGATATACATCACTCCTTGCTGATCAGTGCAACGGGGCCAATCGACTGCTGAGTCGATTATTTGATAATTTTTATTTAATATTTAATATTTATGAATTTAATGGGAGTCTATCCTCATGACCCTTTATCAGCCCTAGCCTTCGACCGAGCACTCTGTTACCCCCATTTACGTTACACAATCAAACTCTCACTATTTAAAAATGTAACACTCTATTCAAAATTATTCTACACATGAAATACAAACGTTTTAAATAATAATACTGATGATGATAGAATCTGACTGTACATAGAATACAAAAATAATAATATCACAGATAAACATTGCTCTTTAAATTAATATACCATTTCAATTCAATTTAATAAATAATTTTCATTTGACTAGGTTCACTATTATAACTTAAATTCTTTGTATGACATGACCAAATTTAATAAAACATTTTATCCTGAATCGTGACCATGTGCTCTAAGTAGACCAAATGAAACATGAAAATCTCAGACCAAACAAAACATGATTCATAACTTGTAAAACGAGTGGTACATGTGAAAAAAATGTGGCAGATTGGCAAGACTATTTTAATACTAAAACACAAATAACACAAACATTTACTTACGTACACATGTCGACACATTAACATTCATTCCGACGAAGATTCACGCGTACCGAATATTTAAAAACTGACTCGTGGTTTTGTGACTTTTTGTCTGACCGAGCGGAACATCACGACACGGTTTTTTCTGGTGTAGGACTTATTAATTCTTGTTTTTTCGAGCTGGCGTTTAATGATTCAATTGAAAATACCGTCACGACGATCCGCGATTCGCTAGAAATTGACATTTGCTATCGATATGATGCATGTACGAATTTTCATCACGAACGCGAACAATCAATCCGGCATCTCAACTGTCTCGACTTAATACTAATAAAACACACCCCCAAATGCAATTCGGCGAAATTTTGACAATTGCGATCGTTTGATGCACGTACAATTTCCGCCCGAACGCTAATTTCCGAGCTACGAATTAAGATATTAATAAATTCGTCCTACACCAGCGGCAAAACGCGACTTCACATGTTGACTACGCGATTACTGAGCCACGAGTGACGACGAGACGTTTGGTTTGCACGCGACACGGTTCGAGTGTAGTATTCCTCCGCGTTACGTCATGTTGGACTGACTTGTCCATTGCCTGGCGCGGATTTTAAATCTTTGAATTTAAAAATCGGCACACAGTACTTTCAATGAAGGAAGGTTTGAGTGAGAAAGTTTTTGTCTTTCTTATGTCAGGATGGGCTCATTCAGTTAAATTAAGCTGGCTCTCCCAACAAAAATCCCTAAAAAACCCTTGTGCCCTATGTCGTTTTGTATCATAATCTCTAACTGTTTTGTCTAAAATTCTTGCAATTTCTTCTAAGTAAAATACTTCAACATTTGCTTAGTATATATTTTTTGTGGCCATATTAGGCCTACTAATTTTATTGACCTATAAAGGTGTTAACAGTGCATCTTGTATAAATAATAAAACATGGATCTTAAATTAACCCAAAGATATTTTAAACATGTTCAGAATATTTTATATTGAAACATTGAAACTAATCTTTTAAACTATTAATGGATGCGCATATTTTGTCCAATAAAGATTATTTTCAATTCAATAACTTACTTCAATCACTAAATATTTTTCTAAATTTTAATATTCTTTATGATTTGTTTGATTTGTTCTCTTCTTTTTGCAATTTATTTTATTTTTATTTTATTTTCAGAACACCCTTGTTGAAGACACTCTACAATACTTTAACATGTAAATTAGCGTTGCATCACCTCAGAAGAATCAAGTTTTGCTTTTCATAGCACCGTTGTGTGAAATATATTGTCATATTTGAACGTTGAAATATTGTTACGATAATGTTAGGGTTTAATGCTAAAAAAACAACTTCAAACTGATTTGTTTCTTGAAAAGTTGACTATTCAACTGGGAATTATATTTAGAGATCGGCCACTTCCATCCTAGGTACACCACAATAACCACACTATACAAATTACGGACTCGTCAATTCTCTATACTTCTTGATTTTCAATTTTACATGATTACTTTGTGAGATCCCAATGAATTTGTGATCGTCCTCCACATTTGCATAAAGACCTTAATAATCTATCACATAAAATGGTGTTTTTATTACTTCATTATTTAAAAGAAAACAAATTCATAAACTCGTCCTATAGCTGCCAAAGCCATTAATAGGCTTGTCTGCAGCAGACATAAAAATGTTACCACTTCACAGTTCACAGTGCCTTTTTTCAATCAGTACCTTTTGGACAAACTGTAACATGAAATATAGCCTATACAGAATACAAACACAATAATTAACAGTTTTGTGATTTTTCATCTTGCAAACCTTGCATATTCCTTCTATGATCATGATAGTATCCAGGCATTCCTAATTCCTACCCTGAAAAAAAGTTGTTGAAATAATTAAAACTCTCCGTAGGAAATAAATATGAAAATGTTCTGTCCTAAAAATTTATACTTTTAAAGCACAATGAATAAATAATTGTTTCCCATCTATTTATGCCACATTTCTCTTTGTAAATCTTAATTTAGCCTGGGGTCGCAATCATACCATTTTGGATTTGGCTCATCACTAATTATATCTTCGAGTTAATTTGTGAAGTATTGATTGTTCTTCCAAGACTGAATAAAAATAACTCAAGTTATTGTAAATAAGAGTTTAATAACTGGAAGATGTCCAAACAACATAACAAATCTTGTTCCTATGTATTTATATTTTTTACTTATTAGATCTTGTACTTCTTAATAATAAGACTGGTTTAGCACCTGAAATAAAATAATCGTATTTTGATTTATTTTTACCTGTCTTACTTCAGCCTTGTTAATAATTTCCATGAAATTATGTTCATATTTTTATTTTGAACTTACTTAAAATAATGTTTTTATGATTTTTTGTTTTCCAAATTTTAGTTACTAACAATATGTTGAGTTTTCTTCAGAGGTGCTTTGGGAATGTTTTACCCAACCAAAAATATAAATAAATAATTCCCAATTGCCTAGTAAATTGATGAATTGATTGATTTAGCTAAGCTACATTAAACCCCTTAATTTTTGTCACACCGCACATAGTTGGTCATCCATTGTATCTATCATCATCATCAATCATTCATTGTATTGTGCTATCTTTGCATTCACAAAAGAAAAATAATGGAAGTCGGAAGCCAGGTGGACTTAAAAATGGACTCTGAAGAAGACTTCACTATAGAAACCTTGATTAGGCCTAGTTCATGTTTAAAATTGACTTTTATCTATAAAATGCTTTGTCTTGAATCAAGATTTTATTTACATTTAAACTGATCCAATGTTGAAGTAATTCCACCAATAAAAATGTAGAGCTGGCTTCTAACAAATAAATTTATCTATGCTTGCATGTCTAAATCAAGGCCACACTAAAAAAAACAGGCCGTAATGGTCGTCAAGCATGACATCACGATAGAAGATGGCTATGACGTAATGTTTGCCGTTTGTGATCAGCTGCTTGTTTTAATCTTTCCTTAGAAAATAAATAAATAAATACCTACGTCATTCCCGTCTTCTATTGTGACGTCATGCTTGACGAGCATTAATGCCTGTTTTTTTAGTGTGGCTTTGCCTAAATACACATTATTCACAAGCAATATCAAAACTGGATGGATTTTATGATATAGCTACCAAATGTTTTCCAGATATTAAGTAGTTCTAGTTCTTGGAATATTGCTGGTACAGTAGACGCACTCTCATTCGGGTTAGTTTGGTTTGTACTTGGGCTGGTTTTTGACAACCACATGTGCGAGATTCAGACACTCTCCATTTAATCCATAATCAGGTGAACAAATAAGTTACTATTGTCAAACACGTTGGTACTTTAGATATAATTGCTTTACTATTGTTTACTTTAATACTGTAGTTTCTGATTTTTACACCCATGACAGTTGTTTTGAAATGCACCCAATCATTTGTGTACCAAATGTTTTATAGTGGGGATATTTTTAGTTGTGAAAAGACTTTTATCTCAGGGTTTCTAAACTTAAAGGTGTCTACTGTAGTAAACGTTTTTATTTTTTCACTGCTTCTGAATACAATTGTTATGATAAGTGTAAATAATCCAGGTAAATTCATTCAAACTAAGATATTTTTTTATTATATTTTCGTAGAAAAGAGAAGAGAAGTTGAGCATCAACACACTGAAGCGTAGAAACCAAGCGATGGTTGCTTTTGTGAAGAAAGACATAACAGAGCGAAACAACCCTTCTGTAAGTAGTCCTATTATGTAGTTATGACAAAATTGTTAAAAATTAAATAAAAGGAAAAAAAGGAATTCAAAGATTTATCTTTGTAGTAGGCCTAACTAATATACTAGTCGATAGAGAAAACTTTTTCATAATGGTTGAAAATGAGTTTAACTAGCAATTAAGCAAATCAATCTAGTTAATTAATTTTTAATTGTGGATTTTTATCAAACCCATACATAAATATCAAAGACAGCTAAGTGATGTTGAAGGAATGATTAACAAAGACATTTAAATACATGAGTTTTTAGTTACAAAACATTTAACCTATTTACAACAGTAGAGAGCAGTATATGTCAGTTTTTTTTCATATAAATTATGTATTTAAGTAAAACAAAAACAAATTTTTTAAATTTAATCAATGTTGATATGATTCTCTTAGTACCAACACAGTGTTATAAGTAGTGTAATGGGATGGAGGACTTCTTAGGAATTATTAAAGCTACCTGCAAGACTGTTGTAAAAAGCTGTCCTGTTTTAGAGAAATATTTAATAAGAGCTAATAATTCCTGAAGTTTTTTTTACAGAAGCTGAAATATGAGTGTGCCATATGCAACAAGAGGTTCCCGAGAGGAGACAGTCTCAAGCAGCATATACTGCTGTTACATACTCGTGAGAACAAATACCACTGCAAGATCTGCCACCTCGGGTTCTCCCACTCCTACAACAGGCTCAGGTATGTTATATCTAACAAAAAACCACTAAGTGGTAACACTTTCCCCGCCAAGTCAGCAATCCAAAAAAGATAATAAATCATTACTTTTTCCGCCAAGAAAAACAATGTAATGTATGTAAGTTTGGCAACTTGGCGGCAGACTTTTGCTCGATCACTTTAAAAATACCATAAAACTAGTTTCATTGAGCAAGTATCTCTCCCATTAGTACATTGCTAGGTGAGAGCTTATTTTACAAAACTTGACCTTATTTGTGCCACATTTCATAAAATCATAATAGTGATGGTTTTATATTTACTGATTACCTCGAAATTATTATACTTAGTTGGACTAATTAATTAGAGAAGTTGATTTGTGAAATTATCCACGAACGTAACTTAAATGAAAAAAAAACCAAGCAAAAGTCTGCCGCCAAGTTGCCAAACTTACATACATTACATTGTTTTTCTTGGCGGAAAAAGTAATGATTTATTATCTTTTTTGGATTGCTGACTTGGCGGGGAAAGTGTTACCACTTAGTGGTTTTTTGTTAGATTTTATTTATTTTTGTAGAAAATTAACCGTTCAAATAAAAATACTCTTTTCTCTGAAAAAAAAAATAAATTTTAATGCTAAAGTTGACTGAACTCTCGATCTTCCGGTAGTCTTTGCAGAGGGTACCGGTTTTGTACTCTCATCCTGCACTTTTTCGACATTTTTGGTCTGGCACCACTTACTGTCTCTCACATAAGGAGCCGAAGAGGAGTCACAACTTGTGTTGTAAAGTGGAAGGTCAGACCTGTACTTCTGCCTTAGTCTGTTGTATTCGAGAATGGCGGATTTCTGAGGCTTCACATCTCTTGGGTTAAAGTTAATAAGATGAAGCCCTTCTAATGAAGTCACTCGTGACAAGGCAACATATGATTGGCCACATGTAAATATGGACTCCCCAATATCAATTATTACGCTATTTAAGCTGAGGCCCTGGCATTTGTGAATTGTAACCGCGTAGGACATCGATATCGGGAATTGCTCTCGATACACAAATGCGTTATCCATCACTTGAAACTTGACGTTTACTCGCTGTAGGTGATGGGTAATGCCACAATCAAAGTTAATTGTCACTGAGTCTACGTCATCAGAATTGTCTGTATTAAACCTCAACCCCGTTACTGTTCCAATGGCGGAGTTAACTAGCCCCACAGTGACGTCAATGTTTCTAAGCAACATAACTTTAGCACCAACCTTAATAGGAATAATTTTCTCCATACCAGCCGTTCTGCTGCAGTCAGAGTTGTAAGAGGACAGTATCTTTTTAACTTTGTTTTGTTGACGAGGTAGACAGTCAACTGAGTCTTTTGCAACCAAGTTAACGACAGGACCACTTATTCTATTGACCATTTCATCATTTATTATGGAGCATTGGTAACCAGTTGAACAAAGACACACAGAATTGTTGGGAAAAGCAGACAAGTAATCTCCTAATAGAGAAAGGTTTTCACAAGCAGTTTTTCCATTAAGATGTATTTTCTTGCTTTCAATTAGACGGATGTCCTCAACGGTCATATTGCCTACTCTGACTTTGCTTAACACATCAGCAAACTTAGAATCTTGAGCTTGTCGCATGTTTGTAGTAAGTTCATCATAAGAGAACTGTTCAGACCAGATGTTAACACAAGACAGAGAGCCAACAAAAGAACTAAGTTTGCTACTGTCAAGTTCAATGAATGGGGAGTCTTCGTGTACTGGTGGAAGTTGTAAAAGGTCTCCAAAGAGCAGTATATGTTTTTTACCAAACCAGCCGTTACTTTGGTCTGAGGTGTTGAATATTTCACACAATCTGAGATTTATGTACATCAATGTTAGATTGGAGACCATGGACACTTCGTCTATTATGAAGAGCACCACATCTTTCAGGTTGGATCTCAACATTTTTAAAACATCATCAGTAAGAGCTTTGTACTTTGGAGTTTTTCCATGCTCAACTGGCAGCTGAAACACTTTGTAGATCGTAGAACCATTGATGTTGTAAGCACTTAGTCCTGTGGGAGCTGATATTGATGTAGAGGCTTGAAGACATTTTTTAGTCCAAGAGCTATTAAAATGCAATTAAAACATAGCCATGGTATCTTACCAAATGGTCCTAAGAAATGTTCTCAATGTTCTTAAACTAGATCTCTTCACTACACATAAACAATGCTGCTCTTTTTGTAAACATGAAAAAGACAACAAACACGTTTTATTTACAGCTGTTAAAATTATTAATACAATGTTAAAAGACTTAGTTAAATAATTTAGCTAGTATCCTAGTATATAATTATATAGAAACATATGTATAAAATGTGATTGCATCTGGTGGCCTACTTAGCACCAATTTATAGTTGACTTAAAATTCGGGCAGATGAATATATTTTATTCTTTGTACTTTATATTTCATTGCTAAGATTTAATTATGATTTAAATGCTTATTGTTGTGAGTTCAATTGTAAATAAAGGTGTTGAAAGTAATAGCCCTCTGTTTTAACGTTTTTAAAGCTTTTACCAACTTAAATAGAATTCAACCTAATATTGAAGTGAATTCCAACATTACTGGCAATGAGTTGGTGTTACATAAGTGTTCTGAAAATTAAACCCGTATATCTAAAGACTAGTGTAAATTGAGCCCTTGGGTGACTTTCTACAGCCAGTTTCAACGTCTAGAACTGTGTGCAAAACCTCCCATTTCCCCATTTTTATTTGTCATGAATAAGTAGACATTTTAATACTAACTATGACGATTGCATTCATAAAATCTCAAAACATATTGTAGGCTACGGCAATATTGTCCTAAAAGCTGTTTACTGACTTTCTAAAGCCATATTAATGTATATAATTGTGTCATTGTGTCCAACTAACTAACTTTCAATTGCGTAATATTGTTTTATTTGCTGTGCTATTGTCCACAAAGTTGATCTATGTGGAACTTAATACTACTCCTGCTATCGCTTATTAAGTTTAATAAAATCTACATTGATGTGTGTTTAAGACATTGCGTGTTTTAAGGACGAAATGTACGTTTAAATTTATTTTTCCAGGGTCCAAGGAGGGGGGGCTTTAGCCCCTGTAGCCCCCCCCCCCCTTGGAACCGTCACGGGGGGGAATATCTCTTCTCTAAGTAATTTTATATAGTAAGTAGTTCAAATCATTCGGTATACCTGAAAAAAATACTTTATAAAAGTTTTAAAATAATCATCAGCTGTTCCTATAAATTTCTCTAACATTTAAATTTATTGATATTTAATCGCAGCTGGTCCTTCTTTTTATTTTGATTTGTTTTGATTTTAATCCCATGTTATTTAAATGGGCCAAAATCGTACTTTGAGGGCTTGCCAAGGGTTTATGGGTCAACGTACCGACTTGAGACCCTCAAAAGGCACATCTACACGCTAAGGGCTTTCACACAACATAAAGAACATTAAAATTGAGCCAGTGGTTTGGGCTGTAGGTCCGTCAACATTTAAGGAGAAGAAGGAGAACACGGAAAATTTGTGAATTTTCAAACTAGTTTTTCTTTGCTCAAACACAACCGTTTTTTAAATTCTTTTTTTTATTTTGTTGAGAATGATTGCCCCTATCCAGTAGATGAACAATTATTTTAATAGCTTTTGTTTCTTCAGAGCTATAGACGAGTAAAAAAGCCACTTTGTCACGTCATGTATATATACACTGCAGCAGCTGTGTACCGCTGGGGGACTTGGCGGGGCGGAACGCTGCCGCGTTCCTTAATTAGATGTGTTTTATTGAAATATTGTGCCAATATTTATGCCTTACGCCAGCGATTGACTATTAGAAGTAGAGGGGGGGGGGGGAATGTACCTATGAAAGTTGTATCCTGTGCAACCTAGTGCCTAATCGTTGCCACTGAAATTTAGTCCAGCAATTTATATTACTGAAGGTCTATTTTGTACTGACGTAACTTCTGTTTGTTTCAGACACATGAGGAAAAACCACCCTAATCACAAAGACAATAAATTACCGAAGAAAACCGCTAGCCGTTATGAGTAAGTATAAGGATATTAACATTTTTTAATACTTTGTTGCACATTGTTCCAAACTCACTATTCATATCCAAGATTTTTTTAAAGTGACTGCCATTCAACAAACAGGCAGTTTTTGTTTTTTAATTGTTGGATTTGCCGACCCACGTGGAACCCAAAGGCCTAAACATGGATTATATCAGGCAAAGCTTGAGGCAAGTTGGTACAGCACAAGAATGAACTGTACTGAAAAAATTACAAGTGACACCATACAGACAAACCTGCCTTTGTTTCACAGTTTGTAACACTTTTCACTCAGCTAGTAACTCATCAAAGCGGGTCTTAAGAGAATACATTTTGGAATATTCTTCTAAACTATTTACCTTGGGATTTATTGTACTTGGTCCCATTAATAAATTAGGTTCAGCTACAGTGATGCGGTGCCGGTGGGGAGGGGGGGGGGCGAGTCTTGGCCTAGATTTACCAAGCTCAGCTCCATGACGGGCCTGTACGGTTTTTCAAACTAAAATTTGTTAAAACCAGTAAGAGCGCTAGATCAAGTAGTTAACAACAGCTAAACCGACACTTGACCTATCGATGGAAATTTTCTACTAACCTAGGTAAAAAAACATTGTCTGCAGTCATGCGGATTGCATCAACTCAACTGTCCTCGCTATTTGCGTGAAGGCATTAGAGTACCTAGGCGAAATGTGATGTCTACATCAGTAGTTAAAACCAATAAAACTTAGTACGTCTTGAGTCAGTAGTTAAATGTTCGCAGAAAGGTCGCCTGACATCCACCCACCCCCTGTCAATACTGCTGTGTCAAGCGCAAGTGTAAGCTTAAGTGGAAATACTGGTTATAATGTTTTCAAAGATTATTGAGGAAAGGGGCCCGATGAACAAACCTGTGGGGGGGCGGTAGCTACCACCGCTGTTCAGTTGGTTATTTGTTTTGAATAATTTAATCATTAAAAACAAATAATACCAATCACCTTACACTCTTAAGTCAGAGTTTAACTGTTAGACTGTTAAGAGTCCAACTAAAAATATATTCTGAGCATGTCCTTTTCTTCCACAGATCCTGGTCTTGTTCACAATGTGACCTGACATTCAGTACCTCCAGCGTACTGAACATCCACACTCTAGTTCATGCAGCCAAGAACATCGAAGAAGAGATCGTCGCTGAGAAACGACCAGATTACTGGAGCTGCCCTCAGTGTTCTCAGGTAGGCCTAGCACTGAAAAAAATCATTCCACTTGTAATTGTTAATTGTATGAAGTTGAATATTGTCGATAGCGTTGAATTCTGGATACTGTTGTAGACATCTCTGCTGAAGCCAATTTTTTAAATAAAAAAAAGAATGTAAGAATGATTCACGCAGATTGTACTTCAGGCTAGAACTTTAATTTATCCATTATTCTTTACCATGATAGTGGGATGTGAAGAGGCTATAGTTTGCAGTTAGTTTTTCATTGGCTTTATTAAAAAGTAAGAGTAGTCAACAGAGCAGCACATTGTGTCAATGCCACAATTCAACTATGTTAATTTTCAATCTAAAACAGGCAATGACTTGAAAATGGGAATGTTTGGTTCTGTTCATAGTGAAGGGTGATATTAAGCTTTAAACATAAAATATTGTGTAAACACGTGCTTATGGTGATCTCAGATTGCACTTTAAAAATGTTGGCACTAATTGCTGAGTAATAATAATGACTAGCTTTGAACCCAGCCTACAAGCTCGAGAGATCAAGTACCAAGTCGTAAAATCAAGCTCAAGTCGAAAATTTACAATCTTGATCGCAGGGTGTCCACGCAAGGACAAAGATCCACGCTCCCACCATTGCGGATGATGACAATAATGTTCCCCTTATCGCAGGAGACGATGATGAGAATTTCACTACTGCGGTAGATTTCCAGTATTTTGCCTTGATCTCAAAAGACAATGATGATAATCTACAGGACCATGTTAGATGTCCAGGATTTTGTTGCCATCATGGAAAATTACAATTATGTCAACACTAACACACAGGAGATTTACAGGATTTTTTTGCGAAGATGTCCAGGATTCAGCTGCAATTGCAGGAGATGATCTCCTACACGACCGTGGGAAATGTTAAGAATTTTACTATGATTACGATATATATGTGACCTCCCACATTCCCCTGAGGAGCTTGTGCTTGCCTCCACCCATCAGTCATAACACTTGAAGTTAACAACATAAATAAGGAGAATATAACATGAGTGTTCTCAGTAAAAACTTTTAAATTCAGAAATCCTCTCTGTAAATTAGTGTAAAAAATAATATTAATCATAAAAGTTCTGTATTTTTTTGAAGTAGTAACAAGATAATCATAGCACAGGTTGTATAAGGTTACTTTTTGTTGTATCTTACATAATTATTTGTATGTTTTTTTTAGAAATTCACCGACAAGAGGAAACTAGCCAATCATGTGACACAGCATGGAAAGAACAAACCGGTGAATGATCAAAAACATCATTGTGATGTGTGTGGGAGAAACTTCATTTCATCTGTGAGATATCAGGTGAGTTTCAGTTATGTATAGATTTTGCAAAATCACTATAGGCTATAAAGTGAGATTGAAAGTCTTGTCTTGCCAGATTAACAATCAAAACTGCTTGATGTTTTTTCTTTAGCAATTCCAAACTAAGGAAGACCACTGGCTTGCCGCCATAGCAATCTACATCACTGTCACATAATCATTGGCAGTAATATATGGTGATGAGCAGCTGAGTTTAATTTTACAAAAGAAAAACTGTTGTTTGTTTCTAATAATTTAATTGTGGCTTTTTCATTTGTCCACAGATCCACAGAGAATTGCACGGAGAAGAAGACAAGAAACCGCAACAATGCAATATTTGTTTCCGAAGGTTTATGACCAGATCTGCCCTCATGTGTCATCTGAAAATACACAACAGTTAGTATTGTGTCTTACGCTAAAATGATGTAAAATGATGTTTTATTTTGCCCATCTTCCACTAAAAAGATTAATTGTTCAATATTTATTTTTTTCAAGTTCAAGTATTGTATTCCTTTCTGAAAAGAGATAAAGATGAGCTAGCTTACCTAGGAAAGGTAATGTTGATGAAGTTGAAAATCCAAAGATAGAATTTAATGAATCTCTAGATTTGCAGGGTTGTCAAGCAGCCTAAATCCATTGAACGGCTTCAAAACTGAATCACTTTGATCCTTATCCTTTATTGTTATTTGATGTTTGTGTGCAGATGAAGTCCAATACGAGTGTCCAATGTGCAAGGAAGCCTTCTGCAATATTCTGGCCCTCAAGATGCATGTTCATTCTCACGCTGTCAACGGAATTTACAATTGTCCCCATTGTCAAAAGGTTGGTTGTGGCTAGGCTGAGAGCTCTGCAGCTTGTTGTTCTTAGCCCTGCAGTACTGCTATGAGTTATAAGACGTTGTAGAGAAACATTAACTGATGTTTCCATTAGTTTTGATTCATTTTCATTGTTATTTCTTATCAACTCCTACAGCTCTTTGGTTAAAATTTTAGTTTTTAGTTATTAAAAAATTGTTCAAATTAATTCAAACATATAAAACATGCATACATGAATTTAAAAATGAAAATACAGTAGAACCCCTCATATCTGACCTTGGCATAGCCAGCCTCAGGATATCCAACCTACAGGGTGGCCACAAATCACAAACTGTTATGTTGTATAGGGGAAAATGGGAATTATATGTGAATTTTGAAATTTCACCGGGAAAATCTGATTTTGGCCTGCAGTCTAGACAAAATTTTGAATGTCTGCCGTACTCCGGGGGCTATGGCAAACTCGTAAAAATTGTCTTCCGTGGTCCAGGCAATACCATTGTCTCCCACGATATTGGTGAAATTAAATATTTTAAGGTCGCGCATCTTTGCAACTACACAAAAGCTTTCCAAGGTCGTTCGACTTGGGCTCACCTCCACCCATCTTTGACCCGAAACTTTTCATTGCTACATATATTGTATTTATTTTTAATAAATCAACTGTCTTATCTATAAAAAGAATTCTTTTCTGCTCCTCCTGATATCCATCTTTTGGCTGTTCCAAATATATCCAGGTCCCTTCACGGTCGGATTTAAGGGGTTCTATTGTAATTTGATATAAATCATTCAGAAACAAACAAATTACAGTGTCCATTAAATTGTTTGCAGAGATTTGATGAGTACAGCCATGTCCGTAAGCACATCCGGTCATTCCACTCAGCTCGAAATCATATTTGTGTGGATTGTGGGAAATGCTTCCCAACTCAGGACAAGCTGCGGATGCATTTGCTCAAGTGAGTTTTAAGAATTTACCATAAACTTAAAATATTTTTTTTTTGTTCAAAGTTTAAGGAAAACTCTAGAATTAATTTTCATAAAATTTTAATATCTATAAATCAATATACGCTCATATACTTTGAGCATGGTTTTGCGTAATAACTAAAATTGTCACACAACATAGGTTTATTTTACTTATGATTTTTGTAATTTTAACTATGGACATCGAGTCATTCCCTGTTACCTGTTACTTATCGGTCATACAAAAAGGCTTGAATGACAACTGGTTTGTTTAATGAGTGGCTAGTATCATCAAATAAGTATGTGGAACCAAAATCTTAAAAATATTTTGTTTCTTGGCAATTATTTGGCCCCCAACAACATTCCGCACTTATTTGACAACCGTGAAACATCAATTTTATTACCAAAAATGAGTTCAAAGTTGCAGCCGCTGAACCAGAGTATCATACAGAATAATAAAAATTGACCTTACTCTTACCCTTTAAAAATAACCTCTTTGTAATTCAGATATTTACTTTTTCTCCCAATACATCAAACCTCTTGATGATTCCCTTATGATTACCCTTAAAATGATTTAATTTTGAGGTCCAGGCGAGCTGTTATTTTATGCGATGCAAATGTTTTGTCTATAGTTATTGAATTTGATTAGCCATGTAAACTCGTTACAGATCCAATAACTTATCCTCCTATACTGTGTGTGTGTGTGTGTGTGTGTGTGTGCATGACAAAAATGAAGAGATTTCTTGTACAGACACTCGGACCATCGTGAGTTTTTGTGTTCCGACTGTGGCAAACAATTCAAGCGCAAAGACAAACTGAAGGAACACATGAAGCGGATGCACTCCACAGACAAAGACGCAGACCGGAGAGCTGCAGAGAGACGACCGGAGAAGAAAATGCTCTCAAAACTCATGGTGAGTAAATATTACTCAATGCTCTGTGCTCTAGTCATAGTTAAATAAATAATTGTGGTATTAACCCTTTCAGTGCTTTACGACAATTTATCGTTATGCGTAATTTTCTCAAAAAGTGCTATGGAACGATATATTGTTGTTTGCGTTTTATCCGAATAGAGCTAAGCGATGGTATACAGTATCGTGCCGGTGCGACTTTCAACCGTGTGAGTTTAAATGGGCATATTGGTTGACTCGGTTGTTGTTTCGAAACAGTGATGGTTTCTTTCGATTCCTCATACGATCAAGGCCCGATATATCATACCTTAGCACTTTTGTGATGAAAAATGTTATTTTTACCGATTTTTTTTCTTGCACTCCGCTCTTGGACTTCGCTCCCGTAGCAAGCCTAGCACATTTTGGACAAAATAAGTGCTTAAATAACTCTAGCATTGGGAAAATTACAAAAACAATTCAAGCATCCTAAGGGCTAAAAGATGACATTAGTGATGAGATGTGTCACAGATGAAATTCATATTCACTGAATCCAAAGAACAGATTTGTATTTGAGATTTATACGGCTGGATTTTTAAAGAAATCTTTTCTCAAATTTAGTTTTACCCGGCATTTATTTATCCTGTCACAAACAAATAGCTTCAAAACATCGGAATTCTTTAGATTTTGTTTAAAAGCAGTAAACGCAATTTAATTTTTTAGGAATTTGATTAAGTCAAGGTTTGAGGCTCTGTTTTTGACATGTGAAAATAATGTATTTGTTATCATAATAATAGACTGAGTACTCTTATAGTGGTTTACTTTTCATTTCAGATAAAGATGCCATTATCATGTTGTCAAAACCCTTTTTACAAATATCTCTTAATAACACAACGTTATCTTTGGCTTAGGTTTATACAGTTTTTTGAAAACATGACTATGTGTTTCCAAAGAAATTTATATGATTAAATCCATATATCGTCCCGGTGTATATATCACAAGTTAACCTTTCCAAATGTCCACACAGGTTAACTCTTCAGATTATGAGCGCTACATCTACAAATGCCACTCTTGTATGTTGGGCTTCAAGCGAAGAGGGATGTTAGTAAACCACTTAGCCAACCGACATCCTGACATCACTCCGGAGTCTGTGCCTGAACTCAACCTTCCCATCTTGAAGACGACTCGGGACTACTATTGCCAGTACTGTGATAAGGTATGGACACTTTGTATAAGCTTGAATTTGCAGTAGTAAGTCAAATCATCAATATCTGCAATGCCTATTTTATTTCAACTCACCTCTTGTAGCGAATATCAACTATCAAAAGCAACTTTTTGTTGACAAAGATTTAACTTAGGTTATAAAACTTTAGTTTTGTTTAAGGAAAGGCTCTAGGCCTGGATTTTAAATAGTAGAAAAAAGAGGATAGCAGCTAGATTACCTTGAAAGTGTGGGTAGGCCATAGAACAAGTAGAAAAACAATATGAACACAATATTTCGTCCCTTAGGGGTGTGCATAGTGTTTTTCTATTTACCCACACTTTCAAGGTAAGCTAGCTGCTATCCTCCTTTTTCTACAATTTATAAAAACTTTAGTTTTTTTTTAACGAGACCATTTCAACAGTCATGTACATATGTCCAAATACATTTATGTTTCAGATTTATAAAAGCAGCTCAAAGAGAAAAGCTCATATTTTGAAAAACCATCCTGGATTAGAGTTACCCATGAGCAACCGTCAAAAGGTAATATTATTGGTTGTTTGTGAAAATTTGATCTTAAATTGTGATTTGGAATTTTAGATTTTAAAGCAATCTTGAAATGTTTTAGTTTTTAAAGCAATCTTGAAACAAATATTCCAGAAATGAACTACTGTAGTAAGAAATCTATAGGCCACAATGGTAGTGATGTGACACGGTCCTACCCTACAGACCACGATAGTGTTATTAAGTGTGACTATGAGATTATAAATTAAACTATTACTACAACTCTGGTTGAGTTTGATTGTTTTGCCAGGGTGGAGTTCCGGAGATCCCTGGTTTGCCTAACCCTACATTCTCACAGACAGTTGGCAGCATCACCACCACACCTCACAGCTGTCAATGGTGTCACAAGCAGTACGCTAGCAAAGCCAAGTTGTTGCAACACCAGCGAAAGAAACACTCCAACTTGTTGCCTCAGACAGAGCAGGTAAATTCCCTTCATATCCTGGGACGCTAGGCTATAACCCGGAGCTATTTTAGGCTATAACCTAAAGGGTGGTGGTATTATCACATTAAAAGCCAATGGTGATCGACACTATTTGAACCCAAGACCATGGGGACCAAAGCCCTACACTTATCAATAAGCCAGATCGCTCCCAAAGGTAAACTAAGTACTAAAAATTTGTGTTCATGCACTGAAACTTGGTAAGGAACAAACTCAAGGTCCGGGCAAATTAATCATGACTTATTGAGAAAAAACATTGGTTTGTCTTCAATTCCTTTACTTAGGGATTGAAAGTAATGTATGCTATTGCTTTGGTGTCCACTACCGTTTCACATTTATGACAAATATTCAAATTTATATATGCAAATTTAAACATGTCATATTTATTACAGTATAAGAAAATTCCATTTATCAGGTTTGTTTATTATTGAATCTGGACCATTTTACAGGCACCTCGAGCGCTGAAAAATATATCAACCGAAGACAACATTGTGATTGAGAAAACCAATGCAGCGTTTGAAAAGAATTATGGAAGTTCTTCAGATAAACACAACTATGGTGTCAGTGTTGATAAAACCAGCCTCAGAAAGATGGAAATCAAGAGTTACAAGATAGATAATGGCTACGACGACAATGATGATGATGACGATGTGGAAATTACACCGGTTCCTATTGCATTAACCACCAACTCGAGTCATCAAATGCCCAGCATGAACCAGTTTCAAGGTACTCTACTTTGCTGGTATTACCAACATTGTTCTTGCGGTAGACTGTGTTGTGTGATCAATGACATCATCTCTCCAGTAAAGAGACAACATCGTAGATCGAGGACACAAACTGTGTCATGGTCTAGTTTGGTACGTGGATCTCTTGGAGGGATTCACCTGTTTGTGGTAGAGTGTAGTTGGAGAGACCCACCGAAAATAAATGGTGGATGTTGATGAAATGGGTCTATTTGTTGTGCGTCAGGCATTTTGCTACTTAACCTTCCTATGTGTGTGTGTATTGGCTTCTAGTTAAACAAGAACTTGGATTAAAATTAAAATTAAACATGATAAAAAAAGCTTAATTCAATCAACGAACAACCATTGAAGCTCGAAGGGTCGAGGAAAATACTTAAAAAAAATAACCTGGATGACAACAACTTGAATCAAACAATAATTTTAGGGTTTTCAGTTTTCATTCAAAATTTATATTCCTCATTTATTTTAATTTTTTGTCTATGGTAAAAACAAATTGTTTTAACACCACAATATTATTAATTATTTTTATTCTTTTGCAGAGTTTGAGATTATTGCAGCTGATGATGATAATGGAGGCCATGGGATTTTGATTGATACCTCAACTATCATTAAACGTTCATCTTACAAGGTATGTTTTTGTTTCATAGAAACATTGCTATGTTTAACAGTTTTCTACAATTTTAACAATGTTCACACACTTAATAAAAAGGGTTATTGAATAAAAAAAAAAAAAACAGTAAGTATTCTTTTAGTGAATTTCTTTATAGGGAAGTAGCTATTACCATAGGTGGCTTGCTAAGCCTAGGCCCAGGACCGATTTAATTTTTCATTTTGATGTCCCCAGAGGCCAAAAACACCATTCGTTCAAATTTATATATACAGGGTGAATTTTAAATGAGTTCCCCCCCTACTTTTTTCTACATTTCTTAAGATATCATCTCCGGACTACGTCAGATCATTGTTGAGTAGTAAGTACTTTATTTTGACTGGGTATACATTTTTGGCCGCCATCTTGGATCCGCCATATTGGATACAAAGTTTTTTTTTTAATGTAAAGGTAGGGTTGTGGCCCATTATTTCAAACTAAGATTTTACGCTGATTACAATGCTGCAATTAGTTTTTAAAAATCTCGATCCGTTCTAAAGTTATGAGGACTTTTTATAACTTTATTTTTAGTGCATTTTAACATTGTGCATTTACAAACTAAGACCATAATCTCAAAATAGTGCTAGATAAAGATAAGTATACACCACCATTCATTGCCGACATATTTTCACTTGGTTATGACGGATGTAGTTTTTTCAGCCGCCATCTTGGATCCGCCATTTTGAAATGTGATCAATTAATTAAAATATGAAGGTGGTGTTGTGACCCATCATTTTGAGCTACCTTTTTATGCTGAACTCAATGCCGCAATCCGTTTTTCATTTGCATCTTTGGTTTTTGAAATATTGAAATTTTAAATAAGACTATTTTAATATTTCATCAAGACAGCTTGATAACCAAAAACGGATTGCAGCATTGAGTCCAGTATAAAAAAGTAGTTCAAAATGATGGGTCACAACACCACCTTCATATTTAAATTAATTGATCACATTTCAAAATGGCGGATCCAAGATGGCGGCTGAAAAAACTACATCCGTCATAACCAAGTGAAAATATGTCGGCAATGAATGGTGGTGTATACTTATCTTTATCTAGCACTATTTTGAGATTATGGTCTTAGTTTGTAAATGCACAATGTTAAAATGCGCTAAAAATAAAGTTATAAAAAGCCCTCATAACTTTAGAACGGATCAAGATTTTTAAAAAATAATTACGGCATTGTAATTAGCGTAAAATTTTGGTTTGAAATAATGGGTCACATCTCTACCTTTACATTTGAAAAAAAAACTTTGTATCCAATATGGCGGATCCAAGATGGCGGCCAAAAATGTATACCCAGTCAAAATGAAGTACTTACTACTCAACAATGATCTGACGTGGTCCGGAGATGATATCTTAAGAAATGCAGAAAAAAGTAGGGGGGGAACTCATTTAAAATTCACCCTGTATATATATATATACAGGGTGGGGCAATGAGAACGCCACAATTTGTTTTAGCTGTCACATGTTAATTGTTGCAACAACGAATGATCAGCTGTGCTTAAAACATCAATTAAACTATGCCATTTTAGTAAATATTATGCCCGAGGCTATTAACACTGAGATTTTGATGTGCAAACCTATTTTTAAAATAGTGGTTCTTGTGCAAAAACCCAGAGATTGTGTGGACCACATTCCATCCTTGGTCAACATGGCATTGTTCCAGATTGGAAAACAATGGTGAACTGGGTAAAATTATTTAGGATAAACGCTTAAACCTTAAAAATAATCGGTGGGTGCCACAAAACTCTTTGTACACCAGCAAATGTTGAAAGAGTCACATTATGTTGACCAAGGATGGAATGTGGTCCACACAATCTCTGGGTTTTTGCACAAGAACCACTATTTTAAAAATAGGTTTGCACATCAAAATCTCAGTGTTAATAGCCTCGGGCATAATAAAGGGTGTCCCAATAAGAACGCCGGATTTGAAATGTTAACAAACCATATATTTTCTCACTAAATTTACAATATGAAACATGAATCTTAAAGCATAGTATCTCCGATTAGTAATTGAGTATTATGTCTTGTAAGTGCCAACCTGCTGAATACTGACAAGCTCGACATCTCTTGACGAAGTTTTCCATCACTTTTTCACACAATTCCTGTTGAATTCCATTAATGGCACGAATCATTTCCTCCTTCAAGTCTTGGATTGTTTGAGGATTATTGGCGAAAACAAGCGACTTTAAATATCCCCAAAATAGAACTGAGCCAATTTATTCGAACTTATAAATCAATCTTCGGACAGATGGATCATTTGGTGCATTGTCCCGGCCTTAAGTGCGCAGCTTCCGTACTTGTAGTGCACTTTATCTATGACCACGCGTTGTTCCGTCGTGTAGCGATTCATGACTACAAATGGGACCTAATACTGATAACATCGCTGATAATTTGGGAATTCCTATTGAAATACAGATAAGAATAAGACGCTCCTCAAATCCGGCGTTCTTACTGGGACACCCTTTATTTACTAAAATGGCATAGTTTAATTGATGTTTTAAGCACAGCTGATCATTCGTTGTTGCAACAATTAACATGTGACAGCTAAAACAAATTGTGGCGTTCTCATTGCCCCACCCTGTATATATATATATATATATATATAGAGAGAGAGAGAGAGAGATTTAAGTAATTTTTGTCTGATTTTGATGACATTTTGTTTAAAGGAGTACCTATGGCAGAATAAACTTTAATAAGTTCGCAAACCAGCATGATCGGACCATGGGAACGGGGCATTTATGGAGTAAAAATGGGGTTTTCGAATTTTTACCCTCAAACACAAAATTTCCCAATTTCTCTCCAAACCTTTTGAAAGAGCATAAAAAACAATTAATTGTTAGTATATCAAAGTGTTTTTGTACGGTTATTGGTTACGGAGAGTATTCAAAAAAATGTTCATTTACAATCCCATGTTATTCTTATGTAGAATATTGTAAAATGTTGTAGTTTGCTTGTTTCATGGATATATTTTGATCAAACTTGGTATCTTTATTTATCTTATATTAAGCTATTAACATTTTACTAAAAAACAGACTTTATTAGTTTCCCTGTAGCAGCAAACCTAGGTACTCGTTAAACCTAAATAAATGTTATTTTAATAGATTCAATTGAATACAATCCAAGCAAATGGAAATCCGCTTAGTCGGCAGGTTTGCTGCGTCGGGGGTATTTTTGTTTTGTGGCACTCCTTTTGTCACATAAAAAAACATTTTTAACAAAAGTTTTTGCTGTTGAAGGTTAACTGGTCCCTCCCTTATTTACTTTAAGAGAGGTTCTGCTGTACGCTATTTAATTTTTAACGTGGTATCCTGTATGTTGCAGAATGACAACATATCATCAGACCTACTGTCCCAGGCTATGTCAGAGATTGGGGTGTCATTGTCTGACCTGCGTGCATTGTCCATGCTCCAAAATCCCGCGGACACTCTTTACACCCCGTACCCTCGCTGACTCACCCCCTCTTAAGCTGCTGTGAATCTCTGGCGGGGTCTTCATCCCCTTAGTGGCTGTTTGCGGCCACTTCAACTACCAGATGAAACCTGGTAATCTCGTTGAAGGATCTGTCTCGGGTTTCCCTCGGTCGAGCTTTGTTGTTTGTGAATGGGCTTTCAGGAGCGGGTTTTGTTCAGACCGTCGGAAAGTAATGAGATGGTACGACAGCGAGTTGGTCGCTTTGTGATGTTTTATATGTATATTGTAGTTAAGGTAATTGTTAACGTATCGTAAGATTCGCTCCAAGATACAAGTGGATTTAACCTTAGATAGATATTTTGGATAGGTGATCATCTACTGCGAATGTGTTTTTAACTTTTTGCTATGAGGTATTTCAAAGTAATCTATTTTTCTCGTTAGAATGTTGGTAGAGTAGATTGTGTCGGAGCACATTTCGCCGATTTTCATGTTCCTTCCTTCGATATCTGTCCATTCGATTTCACTCGTCGGTTATGCTTTAGTGAGTAAGTAGATGTAAGATGTCGCTCTTTCAAATAAGTTTTGGAATATTCTGTGTCGAGTTGAGGTTTGATGCGATTAAGGTGGTTTTGCTTTAGGGTTTTTATCATCTGTGGGACACAATATGTTGAGTTTGATAAATTTTGTTGTATTAGAGATTTAATTGTGCTTGAAATGTTCTTAACTTTATTATCAAGTAGCAAACATTAATCTTACGACTTTGCACAATAAATTTTACAATTTCGAATAAGTGATAGACGCTTATAATTAATGAGCTTAGAGTATATTTACTTGATAATCACGTGGACCAATAGCAATAGGAAGCTACTGGGAGTCAAATATCCACTAAGCTTTCATATCAGCACAATTTTGTACTAAATGACTGATTTTCATCAAAACTGTTTTCAACAATTGATGTACGTGGTACTTTTTATTACTTGAAAAGAGGCATTTTTCTATTAAAGAAATAATTTAAGAAAAGTAATCTCTCAAAAGTAACACAATCTGATTGTCTTTCAAAAGTGTGTGTGTATTGTGGACATAATCAGTGTTCATTTATGTAAACACGATTTAACTGTCTTTGTGATTCTATGTTGTATAACAATTTGGTGTATTGCATTTTCTATGTCTCGACAGGGTGTTAAAATGATATTTACCACCTATATATTCAACAGTTTCAATTATTTTCCCTCCCCTGATATTAATGTTTGTCGTTTATTATTTGGCAATACTGAACAAATCATTATAACTTTTTCTGTCCATATTGTGATCTAACAATCTTAGTTTTAATCACTAATAGTGGTTACCACAGTGGATGAAATCAGTGTTATAATGTCTTTCACAATTCCTTTTTATGCAAAATTATACATAATAAATGTTTTTACCGTCTTTCATGACCCAGGAGCTTACCGATTTTATTGGTAGTGAGTAGTTTTGTATGTTTGCATCTTGATTACTGTTAAGAACATTTTTATAGTGTTGTCAATTTTCCTAACACCATTACCCCATGTTTTGTAGTTTTAGAACTAACTTTAAGAAGTGTTTTGCTTGTGATGAAAACGACTTAAAGTTTTGTATAGATTGTTGAATAACTGCATGCATAGTTTGAATATCTTTTTTATCCTAAGGCTAAGAAATAGATTTATTCTAAACGCTAGTAGTGATTTTAGTGTTACTTTGGATTGAAGAGTGTTTTACCCTAATGACTGATTAACTTGTAAATTGTTTAATGTTAGTAATTTCATCGTGCTTAACAATAAATTTTTCAACCAGAATAGGTATAAATTATAATTATCTCATTTTGAAAAAGTTATTGAGTGTTTCTTAAAACTTTACATGTTTTACTGTAATTTAATTGATAATAGTTAAGTTTTGTATGATTTCCAAATTTGTGGCATCATATAAATTAAATCCAACATATCATAGGTTTTAAAACCATAAGATCAGCCAGACCAAATACTTCAGCTTTTATCGGCTTCGGTTGCTACCGCAGACTGGTTAAAAAACGTGACACTCATATTCTGTTAGCATTATGTTTTGAGCTGTTGATTCCCTTTGTTTAATGTTAATTCCATCATAGATTTTAGTAAAAACATTACACATCAGGTGATTTTAATTGATGAAAATCAAGGGTATTCTTGTGAGAAACTGGTGTTTAAACTTACAATTTGTCGGATTTGCCTTTTCCTCAGTTTGAATTGATTTCATAAGTTAGCCATTTTGGATGTAAAATTTGTCATCAATGAATTTGTTTGTGTCATAAAAGAAATTTATTTGTGAAATAAAATAATTGTACATCTTTAGAAGTGATACAATTTGCAGCATAACTAAGAATTGTTTTTTAAAAGTATTTGAATTATTAGCCGTAATTAAGGTATACTTGCCAACTTTATTATATACTTAATATACATTATTTTAGTATTTTTTAATACATGTTTTTATCTATATACTCCCGTATTGTTTTTCAATGACCAATTGTCAAACATATCTTTTTAAAAGGAGCTAATTTGATTTTACCTTGCTTTAATTGTACTATTCGAGTTTATTATATTAAGCAAAAACAATTTTGTGGTCATATGATGTCCACTATAACGCTTGGTTGATATTTTGTGTCTTTGTCCTAAGACGCTAGGCACGAGCCTGGGGGTTGTTTTTCACATTACTTCAGACTAGACCTAGGGGTTGTGGCATTATCAATTAGATCAAATCTATAGGTGATTTGGTGATATTTGAACCCGGGACCTCAGGGACTGAAGTCCCGCCCTCTACCACTAGACCAGCTTGCTCCCTGATATTTTGTGTCTATTGGCATCCAACAAAACCATCAATAATTCTTAACTGATAAGATATTTAAAATAATGTAGGTATATTATTTATCTTTGGCTGTTAATATCTTGATGGTTGAAGTAAAAAAAATTAATAGCTTTTTGTTTAGAATGAACAATTTCAAATTCCCAAGAAAGTACAGTATGTCATATCGTTTAGCAAACTGTAAAATTGTATAATGAATTTCTTTTAATCGTTAACTTTTACATGTTTTGTGGTTCTGATACATTAGAGCTGTTAGATTTGCACCCTTTGACCCTTTCATTTTAATTTTTACAATAACCAATGTATATTATTTGCTATTAATCTAATAAAATGTGTTATTTAATGTAAGAATAATAAAACATAGATTTCAGGTTTATTAAAACTGTTGCTAATCAAGATTCCACCAATATTTTGTGCACATTCACTTATTTCTTGTACAACACATAATTAGTGATCTGTGTATAAGTCTGTGAATTTCAGTTTTAAAGATTATATCAGTCAAGTGGCTTTGTAGAACGCCTCTTTCACACGAAGCGGCGCGCGCCGTACGGCGTCCGCCGCGCGGCGCTGCGCCGGACAAGCGTGTGTCTTCACACTAGTACAATTTCGTGCGGCGCGCGCCGTACGGCACTCCTAAATATTTATTATTTTCTGTTCAGTAGTGGCTTTTAAATGAATACTCCACTTAAAAGTTCAAATAAAATGAATATGCTAATTTTAAATTTAATAAACTAGTGCACCTGTTGCTCGAATTTGAGCAGTTGCAACATATTAAAGGAGTTTTTTACGAATAATTGTCACAATTTCCGTTGACGTGTGAGAGTTAAATCAAAGATAATGTACCTGTTCACTCCACTCCAGTTATCGAAACTGGAAACGAACTCACTCTGAAAACGAACGCTCACTCCACTCCATCTATCGAAACTGAAAACGAAAACTCTTGTGTGTATCATGTGTGTACTATGAACAGCTGTAATTAATACAAATTATTTGTCTGTTTAACCTCAGAGTAATTTAACTAAACAAAATCTTGTCTTCATAAGATATACATTGGTATTTTGATGGCCTGAGGGGCAAAGCCCGAGGACTTTTACTACAGGAATTGGTGAAAGGGGGCATCTACACAAACAATACTTAATTTTGACACATCGTTTGTAAAAATCCGTCCATTATTAACGGAGGAGTAGTATTTCGTAGAAATCGCCTTCACGTATTATATATAAGTATTCGTCATATATGAAAATATTGTATTCTAGAAGTTAAAAAAAATGTTTCATTGCGTATAAATTACTAAATTATTAATTTAATACTAAATATGCTCCTCTAGTTATTAAAAGAAAAATTTTGTTTTGATACTTTAAGTTGGCCGATTTGCATGGGATGAACATAAAAATATATGCTTTGTTATAACTTAATATATATTATTAATAAATATATTATTTTCCGATACAACGATATATAATTTCTTAATTAACTGTTGCACCCTCTTGGTCAGGTAGTTTGCCTAAATTGAGACAGCGTAGGGGCTGGGCCGTGCGGCGCGCGCCGCACCGTGTGAAAGCTCCCATAAGAACCAATGCACCTTTACCGAATTGTGCGGCGTGGACGCCGCGCGGCGCTGTCGTCCGGCTCAAGGTGCATCCGGCGGTAACTCGCGCGGCGCGCGCCGGACATAGTGTGAAAGGACTCATATACTCCCATAGCCCTACGCCGGATCCGGCGGGCGCCGCACGGCGCGCGCCGCGTCGTGTGAAAGAGGCGTAACATATTCAGACTTTTAGTCAGAAAATATTTTTTTTACGTTTATTTTTTAAATACTTTATTTCTTTTATCTACAACCGTTTTTTAAACTTGCCTTTTCAGTTCTGATCTTGGAATGAAAAATATTCACTTAACAGTATCGTTTACTTACTTAACAGCATTGTTTTGTTACTTTACTGTACAAGATTGGATCAATGAGGTTTTCAAGAGAAAAGAAGTAAAATTGTAATGATTCTAACATTAACTTATCAGCAACATCAACTTAATTAAAAAAACGGTCGTAGGTAAAGTAGTGTACACAACTCGTGTAATTATCCTCTAAGACACTCGTAGAAGTTTTAAAGGCACTCCCCAAGGCTCGTACCTTACATTTTCTACTTTTGTCTTTAAGACTATCTTTGCGATCCTTGTGTCAACTACTATAATTATTAGCATTGTAAGTATTATTAGCATTGTCACAGGTGATTTATTGTTAAATATTTTATTACAATGCTAATAAATACTAGCACATGCGTAAGTTACTTCCAAAGTGGTTTTTTTTTTTTTTTTGTTTTAGGTGGAGTGACTAAATCCATGAAGTAAAAATATAATAATTATCATTATATTGTAATATATCACTATCCTCCTTTGATTACATTCACTGTCGTAAAGACGAGTACAGTATAAAAGTGTAAATATTTATTTATTTGGTTTAATTTCATATAAAGGATTGTATTTCCTAACAAAGGTTAATGATACTTCCATAATTTTGTGTCTAAAAGATGATCTAAAATCAAATGAACAAGCAATAATCAAAATACAAGATTGAATTGTAATTTCAGGTTGAATTTTTTCTAGTTTTTTTACTATTTCGGGATTATGTTATTGTATTTTATTTTATTTTAAGACATATACGACCAGGAGTTGTATGAATCTTTGCTTTTATTTGTAAACCTAATAGAAGTTTGGTATATTTAAGAAGCGTTATGTTTACCTTTTAGTGTAAGGATAGTATTATATTTTGGTGCTACTTCTGAATTTTATGTAAAAATATATTTACCACTAATTCTTAACCAGCATAGTATGCGAATGTGAGAATATATATTTGCAAAGTAGAAGATAATATATAATTTTAAAATGAATCATTTTAAGCCAAATGCACAATCTAGTTAATGTTGGTTCATTATTTGTCACTAATCTAGTCATTTTATGTTTAGTTTGTGCACATATTTTATATTATTTTGATTTAATAAAATTATGTTTGATGTGTTAGAAGTTTTTGTTTAATAATTTGCCCTTAGTCATAATATTAGGTCTCTTGGACATAAAAATGTAACCATGATAAAATATTGGTTTATCCTCCATGAGTATGCAGGATTTCCGTTACTGTTGATTTAACAAAATTCATGAAAAAGAAGAAGGTAATACCCTGTGTCATGGAATAAAGGACTATGTACAATAGTTGGCTAAACGTTTTTTTTTTAGTCAGTCTATCATTTTAGTTGAAAATATAACCTAACAAATTAGTGAATTAAGTGGAACATCAGAGCCACGACTTACAATGTATTTTGGATTCTGTGAGACTTTCTAAAAATTTGCTTTTATAGTCTTTGGACTATTTAATACTCTTGTACATCGTCAAATTGTTGTATGGGTTGTGGCCTTAGACATTATGAGACTTGGACACATTATATCTTAATTGGGTTTTAGTCATTAGGACCTTTTTCTAAAATATATATATGGAAATGATGACACTAGTTTTGTAGTCTAGATGTGTATTGTATGGCATTTCTGTTTGTTCTGTATGAAAATTGTCCTAGTCAGTCTGAGGAGTCCCTAAACTAAACATACAACTAAAATAACTTATTTCTAAACTTGTAGTATTAAGGAATACTAACAAATTATTCCGTTAAGTAACTGTGAAAAAGTAAGAATAAAAAAATAATATTTATTGAAAATACAAAACATGGTCTGATAAAATTAAGTATTGTATCGATAAATATCAATTGGCAGTTTTTAAAACTATACATTGCTGTACAGTACAAGTAAAGTAAGTACCTTTCACAGAGGGACTAACATAATCTGGCTATAAAATTTATTTTATATACAATTACACAATTATACAATACTGATAACCCTATAAAAAAAATTTTAAAGAAAACTCATTGTCTATCTTATATTATAAACTGCATACAGCTAACTTAAAGTATAGATGTGCCCACTTCAGTAAGTTATCCAAAAGTCAATAGTATCACCTAACCTTATAACTATTCGTTTCTTTCAAGAACCCCAACTTTCCTTTGAACAAAACACTAATTTCAACGTCCAAGTCTCTTCCACTAATGAGGTTCGGAGACGCAGAGAATGTCCCGGATATTTCCTCCTCTGGTCGTATCATGATGAAGTCTCGCAAGTAGAAGATGGTTTGTTTCCAGTGAGTGTAATGACTCTCAGGGCCGGTGGAGAAGCCGAGAGGAACGTGACAACGGAGGAACTCTACGTCAAAGTAGACGACCAACGCGTGGACGTAGTCAGCTCGTAGAGCGTGGATAGAGAATGAAGCGGAGAACTTCATATCCTCCTCTGTGACTTTGTAAAGGTCGAATGTCTGGAGGGGAGTGGTCGTGGTCACTACCTGTAGGAGAATATATCGTGAGTAAAAAACCATTTTAATTTTCTATGAGTTTTTAACCAGATTAAGATAATTTAGAGCCCCTCTAAAAAGACAACCTTGTATTAAATTCAATTTAGAATTTATTTATAATTTTATCAGGAACCATTGAGGAGAGGAACTTAAATATTATGGGTAGCTGAAACCTTTTACTGCTCGTATAGTATATTAAAGAAAATCGCCGGTAACAAAGCTTCTCGAGTTATATCATTATATGCTGACTTCACCTTACATTCATAACCTGCATAAAATACGCATGGTGGTGTGCGTTGCTGTCTCTAAATAATGTAATAACAATGGTTTTAAACAACAGAAATACAAATACATCATCTGGGATAAGACACTTATTTTCCTCCTAGCACAGCTCATTACATAGACATATTTTATTGACATAAAACGTTCTTTATAAAGTACATTTCATACATAAGAACAGGTGTTTCGCCATAGTGATGTATTTTATCAAGGCCACACTAAAAAAAACAGGCCGTAATGCTCGCCAAGCATGACGTCACGATAGAAGACGGCTATGACGTATAAGTACTTATTTATTTATTTTCCAATGAAAGATTAAAACAACTGCTGATCACAAACGGCAGACATTACGTCATTGCCATCCTCTATCGTGACATCATGCTGGACGAGCATTACGGCCTGTTTTTTTAGTGTGGCCTTGATTTTATGCTAAAATTAATAGTTAAAATAAATAAAATATACTCATGTATGATATCAGAGAATTTTTATCTGCACTATAGGGTTCCCCAAAAATTTGTCAAGAGAAACGAAGCATTATCAATTATTTTATCTTTTAATTGAAATCATTCACTGCAACTATACTATTAACTAGTTTCAACTTACGTTTTTCTTATCCACAATGTCAACTATGGGCTCTGACATGGCTACTTGACCAACAACGCTCATGTTGAAGCCGTAGACGTCGTTCCACCAGAGTATCTTATCTTGTTTGTAGAGACTGTCCTCGATGGCTGTCAGGTAGATGGTGGCTCTGTCAGGAAACATGACACCTCCAGGCTTCAGCCACTTGTCCCGTGCGAAGATTACTGTCGACAACATCGACTCAAACAGAAGGCAGTAGCTGGAACAGGATCAAATGTTAGGTAAAATTTGTTATGATGATTGATACGTGAGGTAGTGAATTGTTGGACTATACTAGGTACTGAAAGGTTGATTTAAGTATGACTAGGCATGAAGAAAGATTTAATGCAGATGTGGTGAGTATAAAGTAGAAATGGCAAGACTAAGATGGTTGGACTTGCGAGAAGAGAGAATTCCTAGGCAAAAAGGACTTGATGATGGAGAGTGTGTGGAGGACAGAATGTAGTAAGAGGGATGTGGAGAAAAGCAGAGTAAGATAGCAGATAGTGGAGAGAGAAGGCCTGAAGAAGATATTACCTCTTTTATTACATTCAATTGCATAAAATGGACCCTCGATTACATCATTGCATTGAGACGAGGACCCAATATGCTGCATATTTTAATCTGAATGTGAGAGTAGAATTAAGTGAGAAGCCTTGTGTAACTTTTTGTGGAAGACTAGACATTTCTTTAGCCCGGACCATTAATTGAAGAACTGATGATCAAGAACGTCTTGGTCTCGTTTTGATCCATCAACAACTTCTCAATTTTCGATTAAACTGGCTACCTTTTGTTCACCAGGCGAGCTTTATAACTTCTCAGCTACTCTGGCTACCTAGCTATTCTGGTTATTTCATGCATAGTGTAATGATTTATTTTACCACTCACCCCATCCATTCAGAAATGATGACATCAACATTAGTAATCCCATCAGGAAGTTCAACCTCTTCTACTTTACCCCGCACAATTGTAATTGTGTCAGACATATTGTTATCCTTCACAATCTTCTCGCTGAGCTCTGCAATCGTCGAGCACTCTATGCCTATCACTCGCTTTGCTCCTGCTTTTGCTGCAAATAGGGAGAGGATTCCTAACCCCGATCCAATGTCCAAGACTGTTTTCCCCTAAAGTATATAAAATATGCATTAGTTTAGTAATAACTTGGTTGACTAATGTTTCCGTGAAAAATGTTAATTAATGAACACATTAGTTCAGTAGTGTTGTTGAGCCAGACAAGATATTAGTTCAGTTAGTTATTACATAGACAAATAGAATAAATACAGACTGTCAAAGAAAGGTTCCACGATGTGCCGCCAGAGCGTGCTCAAAATTCGTCCATAAGCTGCCATCATCGACTCACCGTCTGCTACCAGCACTAACCCTTGCTAACAAAATGCTACCAATATATCAGACCCACTTTTCAATATGAGTAAAGTACAAAATTCTGAAATCCTGTAATTTTAACGGAAAATCCTATGTTTTTTGTAAATCCCCAGAAATTTTTAAAATAACGGAACAAACTCCTACTTCCCGGAATCTGGGGGATCCTCCAGAAGTTGGCAACCCTGGCTCCAACTACCAACTTGTCATGGCAACTCTCGCTAGTGCTTGACGCTGCAGCAGTGTGCGCGGAAAATACACGGCACTCCTAGCGGTGGATGACGGAATATATGCTACCCGCAGCACTGTTGTTGGTCTATTTAATTCTTTTGTCTATGTTTATAAATTACTTAAAGAATCTTAAAATCTAAATTCAATCAAACCAACCTTGAAAAGATGAGGATTGTTCATGATTGCCATTCTATAAGTATTGGTTCGCACTCGATCTTTTATCATATCCTCGTGAATCCCAACATGAGCATAAGAATCAAAGTAATAATCTTTTGAGTTGACGTCGTAGTAGAACTCTGTAGGCTTTTGGTATTCCAAACATCTTTTATGGCAACTTTGGCGACAGGTTTCTTCTGCTCCTTCTGTTTTCTCTGCGTTTTTACTCTTTGCCTTTTCACGTTTCCTTTTTAAAAAAGGACATTCTTTTTCTTCTTCCCTCTCCGTATTTGTTGAGAGAGGACATGAATCTGGATCATCAGATATCTTACATTGCTCTTGTGAAAACCGTTGACTTTCTTCTTCACTCACGTCAGCTTGGATAGAAATTGCCTGGAAATGTTAAAAATACACCAAGGCTTAGAATATAATCGGTTATTGGCTTTAATGTTGATTAATAGTAGAATGCAGAACAGAAATAAGCACAATAAGCTTCGGTTTGCGTGCCAGGATCCTGAGTCTGCAGTATAGAAACTACAGATTTCTGAGGTGAAAAACGTTTTTGATTTTGTAATGCTTTTTTTATTTTATCAGAAAGAAATTTCATTATGCTACTGTACTTGATGTAAAAACACTATTATTAAACTGTTAGATTAATCATTATGAATCACTCACAATTAATTAATTAATCCATTTTTTGAAAGTGCTTTGGTAAACCGATGTACTAAAGCTCTAACATTTATTGTCTATTTTTGTTGTCATCCTGGTTCCCAAACTTGTTTAAATAAATGTAGGTTTACACTTTTCATCAAAGTTGGATCATTTTTGCTTGAGTTAATGTGCTGACAGACACATGTATAAATATACAATGTATTTATGCATTTAAATGGAGGGTGTTTTTAGCCTCTATCCTCTATGAACCTCAAAACTAAAAAGGTCTTACCATGATACCTATGGCAACCTATGGTCTTATTCCCTATGGGAAAATCGCTAAAACTAAAGAACACCAATTCTCAGAAAGAAATTTAATTCCCTACGATTTTAAAGTTTCAACCTGAACACTTCCAGAAGGGAACCAATAAAACAAAGCTATATATCGTACAAAACAAAAATCAAATATACACAATACTTACACTAAAAATAATCATGATTAACAATGAATGAAACATTGTTGTACACTAAATAAACACCACATTACATCAACTACTATCACACACATTGGATGTGGCAACTGATAGTTAGTGGTACCCAGACGATATTACACTTGCCTTATCAGATCTTTGGCTTTACTATATCTGGTAATTCAGAACATTGCTCTGGATCTTGCAGATTCTCATTTCTTATGAACAAAATCAATTAAGCAATCTTGAAAATAAATTAATTTCTGAAAGATTTCAAATTTACAAGAAAAACTGAATTTAGTAATTTTAATTTTTTTTAAATCTTCAATATACTTAGTAATATTACATTTTCTACACTATTGTTTACCTTCACCGCGATTGATAAAACGTGTATCATAACATATCAAATGATTTGATATGTAAAAAAAAAAAACATAAAGAAAAAACACTGTTCATGAAAGGTTTTAATTTTCAGTTATTTTTCAATTAATCAAATCAAATCATTATTTGACACAAAAAGTTTCATAAAATGCTTGAAGCAGTAACTGATGTCTCATGTTAATAATATAATCCACTTTATAATACAACCTTAATCCTTAATCCATTTGCACATAAATACTTAAATAAAATATTACCCCACCTTAAGTCAGCTCCGTAATCTATAATTCGATTTTGGCATATCTTAAAAGTAATATGGTCAATACATGCAGAAAAGTGTAAAAATTTAAGGAATCATATTTTGCATAATCTCTTTGAGGCGGTTGATGAGAAAACGATTCCTAAAGTCTTTGGTTCTCGCTGGGAAAGGAGCAATGTTGTAACCGTATACAGTTCACAGAGCCGAGTGTCTAATGGATGGACTGATACTCATATGGGTAACTTAATCTCTAAAGTTCAGATTTTCTAGCTTTCAAATAATTCACTGCCGAATTCGGTTGCTTCTTGAATTCTAGCTTAATCTCATGATTCATTCATTACTTCTCAAGCTATGAGCGGTGTCCACTTTTTTTTTAACAATTTTAAGTTTTGAGTTGCCAGGGCATAAAATAACATGTTAACTGGGAGACACAAGTGTAGCCCAGTGCTGAGATTTTGTCGCCCAGTGGCTATGGATGGTGCCGGCATATTTTTTTTAATGATTCAAATTTTAAATGTATTGGGATTTTAAAAGTATTCAAAAAATAACTTTGTGTAAATATTTCTAGAATTTGTTGGACGATTTACAAGCGAATATAATCAAAAAATTCATTACAAGATACGTAGAAATGTTTGATTTTCACTTTAATCCAAGCAAAATTTTTCCGGGGGTCCCCAGACCCCTTTTTTATGGGGCCCCACAGTAACCCCGGCTCCACTGTCGCCCAGTGGAAATCCCTTAAAATATGCTCTGGAGTTGACATGGATTTACACTTGGTTTCCTGGAATTCCTCCTGGTGACTGCTATCAGCTGAATATGTTTGTAATAGGCTAACTTACTCCGTACTACCTTCAAGCTGGAGAATTTTATTGTCAAGCAATGTTTGTGAAGAGCTTCATTATTATTTGATATAATGAATGAATGTATAACTAAATTTAAAAGTTCAAAAAGGCCAATTTATAATTAGTATATTTTCACGTACGAGGCGAAGCCGAGGACGGGAATAATGGAGCAAGTGCCGGATAATAACTTTCGGTACGAGTTATAAACGATACTTTTCATCACAACGCAAAAATACACAAACACAGATTAGCAGACCTCAGTACTGTAATATTACAACTATTTTATTTCTCAATTAATTTGATTAAACATCAAAATAAAATAAAATCTTTTAAAAGGAAACTTACGTATATTTCACAATAAATTTGGTTTAAACATGAAAATAAAGAATAAAACAACTTTTAACAATACATACAGCTGATTCAAATGATTAAATTAAACGGAGAATAAATGGAGAACTAATTGAGAGCGAGGGAAAATCAGCTGATCGATTTTCTCTCGCCCTAAATTAGAGATTGGGAACCGACTACTTTCATTGATGTCAGCTGTTATCGAAAATAGTCACTTTCGTTAGGAGTGATGAAAAAACTGTTTTAATCACAAGCGTTTTCTAAACAATGTTTCCATCATCAGGATGTGTTTAAACTGGTACAAAAAGTAAATATTTACAATAATAAATTAATTTAAAGTTAAGTTAAAACAGATGATGAAAAGGATATTAGAAAAATATATAAAAAAATAATCTTTTGAAATTTGGAAAAATAACTACATCCTAATTTTGGCTACATTGTATAGTTGACAAGAGACAACATGGCATGCTATAATATTCTAATTTAAGTTCTGAAGATCTAAATTCAATTTTCCAGACTTCCTTAACTAAATACACAGAATATATCACAGTATCTATAAATTAATATCACAGATTGAGATTGGCCGCATTAAATTAATTGTAAAAACATGAAAACACCAACATTAGACATACACAGTGTAAATTATTGATAACTGAGATAGAATTTGTAACAACTAACCGATGACAATGAAAAATAATACTTAATGTATGTAATCCTAATAACAATCAACAAAGATAAAACAGTTTATCAATCTGCAAAATTGATGACTTATAAAACTATATTTCCATGTTTAAAAAATTCTCTGGTACAGTAATAGTATATTTCATTACTAGGACCGAAAGCGGCATTTTCCGACGGGCCTCACACTGGAAAACCAAATTTCACGTGCGAGGCAAAGCCAAGCAGGTGAGAGTTATTTTCACGTACAAGGCGAAGCCGAGGACAAGAATAATGGAGCAAGTGTCGGGAAAAAGCTTTTGGTACGAGTTATGAACGATACTTTTCATCACGACGCAAAAATACACACATTCAGAATAACATATCTCAGTAGGATTGAAATAGTTTTAGACTACTCTTTATCATTGAAAATTACAACTTACATATATCCTACTAATATTATAAATGAGAAAGTTTGGATGTATGTATGTTAATGCCAGCTGAACCTAAAAACGTGTTAATTGTATAGTGTTTGAAAGACTAATTATTTATATGCTTTATAGTGACTGTAGGAACAATATAATGTGTAACACGAGTGCAAAAGGCCTTTGCTGCACTCGAGATCATTCCTACATTGCTCTCGTGTGCAGCAAAGTGCCACTTTGCTCACTAGTTACACAAATAACTATTGACAGTTGATTGCAGCCTACACTGCGGCAAATCAACCAGACTTTTGTTTCTGGTATTATAACTATGTACATCTTCACGTAACTACAACTATTTTAATTTTTCTTTATATTAACAAGACGATAAAATATATAAACATTAATAACAGTTAAAATACATGTGCATATAAATAGTGGTTTGCAATGAGCTTAGCCTATCCGATTTGGTAATAACCCTCATAGCCTTTTTTGAATGAGTAAAATTTCATGTCTGTTATATCTATAGGAGTTATATTATTAATAAAAACTATTAAGTAAATTGTGAAGGAAGTACCGTAGTAAAGTTTAGCAGAAAAGAGTGTGGGAACTGTCTGTGGCAATTAGATTAATGTATCTGTAATCAAAAATGCAGAGAAACAGGTCTACGTGTAGGGAGACTACTTTTATAAATCAAATCTCTTGAATTTATAAAATGTATTTATTGTTAAATCACATTCTATACTGTTGGTAATCCACAGAGCTGTCACCTAAAATATTAAAATATTGGACATGTTATTTGTAATGTCTAGCCTGACTGTAGCCATGCTTTAAACATGACAATTGTCAATGCATTTTTTGTAATGTCCAATGACAAATAAATATGGGGACAGCTCACTTACTCTACAGATCATAGACTATACGAGCTTTTTAAATAATATTGAAGGTTCACTTGCACTACAGGCTCGTATACTATACGAGCCTATCGAAAATAAAAAGTAAATGAAGACGGTTCACTTACTCTACAAATCATTGTGCCTATGAGCCTCGTGTATTATATTTAAAAATACAGTAGGAAGGTTCGCTTACTCTACAGATCATAGTGACTATGAGCCAAGCTTACGAATTATTTGATAATTCAGGAATCGGCTCGTATAGTATACGAGCCAAAATAATGAATAATATAAATTATAGGAATAGGCTCGTATACTATACGAGCCTGCAGAAAAATATTAGATGGCTCACTTACACTACAGATCATTGGCACAATGATCCGTAGAGTAAGTGAACCCTCTTCAAAATATTAGATGGCTCACTTACTCTACGGCTCATTTAGCTACTCGTTGCGCGGTTTGCGTTCGTGAAACTCTAGGCGCTATGCCCGGCTTCGACTGCTGCGACTGCCTACGTGTGTATTGCATCACCTCAATTATTTATTAAAACGAAATAAATATGTATGCACAAGTAAATTTATTACATTTTTGGACTGAATACTTTAAAAATGGAGGGAGCATGACTTTTATGTTTAATTAAATTAAACGTTATAGAATAAAACATATTTTGACTAATATCAGGTTATACAATACACACTTGTATGATCCAGATACAGAGCTACAGACAAAACCTGTGGTCCGATTTAGATTAAATTTTGTATCTGGATTTATCAACGAGTCACTAATTTTTTAAGCACGGGTTGAGAAATAATGGCAAAAATTTATAAAAACAGTTCACCAGATTAGAATATTTCTCAGTTACTGTGAGTTGCAAAAAAAGTGTATACAGAAGCATTTGTGTACACAGAAAATATAGAGGACTAGATGTATACAGAAGATATATTAAAATACAATACGCACACAACTATCAACGTTTACATATGTAAAATTAATGAATTTGTTGTATTGAGTATTTTTAACATTATGACGAAGCCTTAACAAAACATATTTTTTTTAAGGAGTTCTAGGGTGTTAAACTATATTGTATTTATCTTTTGTGGAAGATTCTGTCCACGATTTATGATTGCTAACAATTTAATACAAAGATTTAAGTCTCTGTACGTGAAGACTAAAAACACGAAACAAACTTTAAAGTGATAGAAAAGATTTAATTGCTCAGGAGCTGGCGTTTGATACCTTTTGGGAATAAAAATAGCCTCTACTTCAAATGTAAGGTATACATGGTGAGGTAGCCTCTGGAT